GAACTGCGAATAGTGAGAAAGGAAGATAAGAGAATACATACATAAGAATGCACGCAAATACCGTCAATCCAATTCCAACGGGCGCAATGAACGTAGCTTTATGTTTCTCCGTTGCCAACATGAAGACCGCCACGACGACCTGTGCTGTAATGAACATCTCGATGAACAACCCCTGCGTGACGGTGGTCGTATCACCCAATTCAGTAGCCGCTAGAGCACCCGATGGCAACAGTCCGTATGCGATAGCACTTGCCAGGATAGAACCGAAAAGCTGACTGATGATATCGAGAAGGCCATCAAGCGGTGGTACAGCGCGGATTAGCATCAAAGCCATAGTTACAGCAGGATTAAAGAGCCCACCGCTAATCCGGAAGAAGCTCCACGCATTCACTGTCACAGCTGCGCCCCATGACGTTGCGATGAAAAGGATCTTAGCTGGATCTGCTGAGGGATCTCCTCCGCCGGTCTGTGTAGCAACGGCTGAATCATTGATAACAGCAGAGTTACCGCCCAGACCAATGAGCATGAACAGGAAAGTGCCGACAAACTCAGAGATCATAGCGACAGAACGATTACGGATCCGTAGCGGTACCCGCTCGCGGAACTGGTCGAGGAGATAAACGTGGCCCTTGCTTGTGGTGAGGGCCAGCCCCTTGCTGCCTTCTTGATTGTGAACTGGGAGCATTGGAAGCTTTACGCGACGTAGTCTCCGTCGCCATGGTGGGAGATGCGACGCGTTGACATCAATATTCTCGGCATCGTGGTCCTTTGCGCCTGTTGCTGGCATGGCATCGGGGTGGGATCTGAACAACGGGGAAGATCGTACTTCAAGCAGGTTTGTGGAAGTTGCGATGGTGCTGGAGTATATCCCTTGCAGTCGGGATGCCGGCGATGACTTTTGTAGATGTGCCGATGAACCGGAAACTCAGGTTCGCGCAAAACTTGGGAAGATGCGATTAAAACTGTAAGGATGTCAATCCCATACCAAAGCGACAGCGGCAAAGTTTGCTTTTCTAGTCAGACACTATGATGGTTTCTATGGTATGATGCTCTGGTGATGCTGGTACGAAATTCTCTGTGCATGTTGACCTCGGGAGGCATCCAAAATGACATCATTTGTGCGTATACTGATCCTGCTGGAAGTCGGGCGATATGTACGCATGTTAATCTCAGAAGAACAGGCTGGGTGACAGCGCAAAGTGCAAGGAATTTTGGGTGCCAATCGTCAAAACGGTGTAAGCTTGGTAGTTGTGCGGAAATGGACCGAAGACACAGTTTATCAACATGTGCGCGTGAATGACCATGCTGGATTGGGTATGGTATGGTAATTAATGCTCATCCGGCTTCTTTTAGGTCACCACAAAACACCAACACCAACACCAGATAAGTAGAGGTATGTACAAAAGATCCTCATGAGCAAAATGCGAGGACCCCGTTGTTCCCATTTGTGTACAGATTCTACCGATATTTCCTGTGTCCATATATTGACATACCAGTCGTGATACACAAACACGTCACGTCTCTTCTTCCACCGCTACGGAATGGAATCTCGAGATACAGTCCTGCAAGTAGAAGCACTACTGCAATATGAAACACAGCGCAGGTAATAAGCATGCGCACGTAGTTATCTAATGTTGAGTCTTAGATTCGCTGTCAAAAAGCCGCCCCATGAAGCTCTGGTTTTGAACCTTTTTACCATCAGCCAGCACAGCGTCCAGCAAGTCTGAGCGCAGGTAGCCAAATTCCCTTTTAACGCCGAGCCAAGTCTTCATAAATTCACGATCTGGATTCTCGTGTTCCTCGGGTGCTTTAAGCGATGTTTGGCGTGCGGCGATGTGCATCTCGCGGTCCTTTCGGAAGGTCATCGCATGTGTTGGTTTGGTAATTGATGTTTCCTGCGAGGACAACTTGGTATGAAAAGAGTGCTTCTGAGGGGAAGACGGCCAGATCTGATGGTGCTCGGTTGCACGATGGCGCTGCCATTCTGCTCTGACATTGGTATTGTATGGTGTGACGGGAGACTGGCTATATTCGACTTTATTGTGCTTTCTGTGATGGCGAAGATAACTTTCGTTGGTCCCACGAGTTGCCGTTTCGGTAAAAACTGAGTTTAGAGCGGTCTTGTGAAAGCTTCGGACTTGAAGCCCTGCGGTGCGGACTGTGGCGGTGATCATGTTCGTATCGTCAAGTTGATTTGAGAAGTGCAGTTGAAGCTTATGTAGGAATTTAGGACAGAGCCGGAGGATCTGGCAATTGAAGTATTGGATTTGTCTCTTAAACCAAACTATGGTTGCGAATCGCGAGTTTGACTGTTCTTATCAACGCAACCGTGGGTCCGTCGCGCGAGAGGGGCCGACTCCGGATTATCTACTTTTTGCCCACAAACCTTAATCCCAGCCACTCGAGAAACATGTATTTCGAGAGTATAGCACCATACACGAATACTATGAATAACAGCCGCCATCATTTCTAAATGTTTGTTTTGTGGATCAAGACGTTATTCCGATATCGTGTATACCCAGTTTGCCTGTTTCACGGGTTGATAGACATCACAGGTGGTCACAAGAGCGAATTTGAGGGCTCACCGCTTCGAAAGCGATATGCATGTTGTTTTCCAGTACCGTCGCACTTGAAAGGTCCGAACCACGAACAGAGAACTATTGGAGGCCGTATGTTTAATGTCTTGAATGAGGTAAATTAGGTTTAGGTGTCAAAGCCACGCATTCCTAAATGATACCCACGTTGTTTTCACCGTATATACGTACTGATGTCCTTGCCATTTCCTCCAAACCTATCTTCTCACGTACGTGAAGAACTTGGACACAGAACCAAATTGCTGGACCAAGAACTCTTCTAGACTAAATAGACCTGAAATATCTGCCACGATCCAGGTCCAGAAGCCCCAGGTTCTCCTGATGAAGAGTTGTTAGTATAATCCTGTTGCATGGAAATATAGTACCTAGTGTAGAACATACCCAATGATACGATGCCACATGTAGTGAGGGAGTCTGATTGGAGGCGGCTCGAATAGAAGCTTTTCAGAATCCCACACAGGTGCGCGTATGGGCTTGAAGTACGAGCACCGATCCAAGTGGCTACGTTCATCCGTGGTGAGCACCGAACCTTGGTTGATACGTTCTCATTCATATCGCACAGGCTGTCAGTTAGTCGGTGGACTCAACCGGCCGCTGGTTCTTATCCACTGCCGCTTCCAAAACTTTTGAACAGACTCGTAGTCGGGTCCTACCGTCTCAACCTCACGATCGATGTCGTTTTCATCATCGCGATAGACGCCTAATTTCTGAGACTGCCGTTCGACAGGATGATCGCCATTGCGCATTTGTATAGGAAGATTGCAGGAAGGGCAGAAGTGGTTCATCTTTTCTATTCCGTCTTCCGACATGTATGTGGGGCAAGCGATACACTTCCTGTGGGAAGGCTCTGGGTACGGAGATAGGAACTGGTCTAGACGCGATATTTCTTCGATTGGGGTATAGTTCGGAGGTGGGCTGACCTCGTTAGTGCAAGGTCTGCAATGAATTGCTGGACCACACTTGCAGAAGTCGCCTTGAAGCTGCGCCTGTCGCCATGTACGATGACCATGTGTCGCGGGAAATGCATGTGAGGAATCGTCGCTACGAAGCTTTTCAAAATCCGTATTCCAGCATGTCGAGCATGCATGATGTGCCCGACCGTTACCCCGAGTATTGGCACTTCCCTTGGTAATGTGTAACCACCAGCATTGGAAACATATGGTTCGGGTGCACTTGCAGCATGAGTTGACATTGCTTAGATCACCAAGGGCATCACAGATAACGGATTTCCAGTCATCAGGTATCGAAGGATATGAAGCTCCATTCTTCTCGTGATCTGAATCTTCGCAAGTTCGGTCAATTTTCCCGAGCAGGTTACGCAGTTCCGGTGGACCATGCTTCTGGCAGTCTGCCAAATGATTCTTACTACAAGTACAGGGTCTGGAGACTGGTTGAAACGGATATTTAGTCTTGTGCTTGGGTAGAGCGGGCTTGCTTCTTCCTGTGAGACAGATTCGAAAGTCGGAGCTGGTTCTTGAAAGTGCTTTGAAGTCGGCAATGCGTAGATGCGAACAAAGTGCATCGAGGAAAGGGTACTGCTGGACAGCGTCGAGAAGATTCGCCATGTTGTTCGCTTTAAAAAAAGTATTGTCAAAAAATCAGAAAAGGGTGAATGCCAGCGATTCTTTAAGAATAATTGGAAATATCGCGGTGTGGTACCACTATACCCATCCATGGGACAATACCACCTCCGTGCAAACCAAACTTGAACGAATACAAAACCTTGACCATACAGCCTTCCGGAGACTCTATTACAAGACAGAGTTTCCATTCCTTGTAAGTCATCCGGAGGTGGTCATCGCGAATAAGAGCTAGAGGAAGTGCTGGCTCCCGACTTTTCGGCGTGTCTAGGTAGCACGCAAGTACATGATACCTAGGTAGGACGTTATCGATGTCTTGGATATGAATTTTCTTGTAGAACACATATTCCTAGGTGTCGCACTGAGCTGTGAGAATGAGATAATTGTGACATTCAGAACGAAGACATTACCTAGGTACCTAGGCAGACATGACCCTGCGACTCTGATTGGCCGAATGCACGTGCCATCTGAAGCTCCACCGGCAAAGCATCGCGAGCTTCATGTGCAGCTTCAACCAAATCGTGACAAGCGCAAGCAACTCGCCGTGTTCCTCGTCCACTCGTCCGAGACATCTTCTAGCAAACCTTCTGTCGCCGAGAATATCCATCCGAACCTCAGAACTTAGACGAACCAAGTTTTGAGCAAGTCGCAACCTTTCCACAACGCGATACTATACCACGGAATTTTGCGCGAGCATCCTTCGAGCGCGTGCAAATAGCGCTTCAAGGACACCTCTTGCATATCTTATATCTGCTGGTCTCACGAAGCTGCCCTTAGATAATATCCGAGTTCCCAAACCAACGCATACCCCAACCAAACCCTCACAATGGCACTAAACGCCTACCTAAACAGTAAGTCCCGTCTGCTGTGGTATCATCTTCCCTGCTGACTTTTCTTAGAGCGTGTATCAGTTCTTACCCTCGATGGCCGCACGATGGTCGGCCTTCTCCACTCATGCGACGGTAGTATGAACCTCGTCCTCCAAGAAGCCGTCGAGCGCATCATCCGACCGATAGAAGACGAAGAGCCTAGTGAAGAGGTACCACTCGGACTGTACATTATACGGGGTGACAGTGTGGCGGTGGTGGGTAGGGTGGATGAAGAGATTGACGGAAAGATCGACTGGGGGAAGGTTCACGGAGAGGTGCTGGGAGGAACGAAACATACTTGAGCAAGGAAAGAAACCACGAACGGATACCAGGAGTTGGACTCGGAAGCTGGCGAAGAGGGTTTTACGCGGCCTCACAGAGAGATGGACTATGTGCCCAGCATACTGCATTGGAGCAACACCACAAAACAAGCGACGTTGAGAGTGGATGCATTCAGAGCGCAAGTCGACAGGCGACACGGAACGGGAAAAGGATATACATGCATACATGGACGACACGATACCCACGAAAGCGCAATGATACGCTGAGTATGTCATCTCTAATAAATGTTCCATGCGCCTTTGCTGACCCTTCAGACTGAAATGCTTTTAATATACATATATTGGCGTTCAAGAAGCGACAGACTGTAGCATATCCATGCTAACTGATAATGACCCTGATGAACCTGATTTGACACCATACCGTGCGCCATTCCCAATGTGAAGCTCCCTCAACATGGCCATGTCGCCTTAGCCAGGCGCTCGTCTTCTTACTGTATACTCCGTCCTACACCCTGTCCAATTCCTACAATATTCTTATGATCATTGGGATTCGCAGCGGCCTCGTACATGACAGACACAGCCTCCTTGTTGAGCTTCATAAAGTCGCCCTTGAACGCCAGATAGCTTATTCTCGTCTCGTCCTCTTCGCCATTACTCCAGTTGTCCTCGAAAAATAAGCTCAGACTGCGTGTTGTGCCGAACTTGGCCCTCTTGACGGGTATCTCTTGCACCTCGCTCGTCTGACTGATTTCCAGTATCTGTGTGGGTTCCTTTTCGGCCGCGGTTTCAAAATCGAGCGAATCTTCGTTGACGAAGACTTTGAGGGTCTTGGGACAGTCGGGGCCAGGGCTCGTTCGTAGGATGATGGAATGTAGTCGGACTTGGCCTGTAAAAGGCACCGTCATAAGGATTTGTTCATCGGCGCTGCTCTTCAGCTCGGGCTCGGGTTCGAGGCGCTGGGCCCATGTCTTCTGGCAGATTGCGCGACCGCTGTTGGATTCATCTTCGTTGAGCGTGACGAGCTTGGGGAAGTCGAGTTGTTCGTAGAGGATGTTCTGGAGGGCTGGGGTGATGTCGTCGCTGTGGTCGTGGCCGTCAGCGTGGGAGTGGTCGTGATGCTCGTCGTGGCAGTGTGAGTGCGACATGTTTGTGGGCAATGTTGGGTGTGTTTGCGCGGTAGGGCTGGAAGTGGTGGGGTGGATGGCGGGGTAGCTTCGAGCTTCGATGCGGATGGATGTCGGGGTCAGGGTTGTTGATGCAGGGTCGGCAGATTCTGGCGTCGTAGATGGATGGCAGGAAAGATGGTGTAGATGTAGGACAGGAGCTATGGTATGACGTGCTCGGTGGGTGAAGAGAAAGCGAGACTGACATAAGGGGCAAACATCTAGGACGATGCATCATTGCCCACGTTTCGCACACGTGGTCACCACATGCACCAAGCCGTAGAAGTAACTCCATATAGACTCTTGTATATGTGCGCACATGTACCAAAAATGCAGTATGCCCAAAGTGTCACGTCGTCCACGCCATGCCAGCAAAACACCCCAACGCCACGCTCTAATGCAATCTATACGCCAGTGCCATGTCTCATCATGCCAACATGGGCTGCGATGCCTGCTCGGCAGCCCTTTCCCTCGCCCGTCTCGCCGCTCTGTCCTTGGCCATTTGCGCCTTCTCTTCGGGTGTGAACTGTGGCTGTGCGACAGGCGCGTCGGGTAACGCAGGAACGGTGCCGTTGACTTCTGCTTCGAGAGCATCGAGCTCGTCTTCGACTTCGTCTTCGTCTTGGTTGGACATCTTGTTCGCAAGGAGCTCGCTGATTTCCTGGAATGTCTATCAGCATACATGCTACGAAAGGCTTGGCTATGCGGCGCACCTCCTGATAAGCACGAGCCTCCTCGTTCTCACCCAGCAGCTTCTCTACGTTCTCGATGCCGCCCATTTCCTTGTGGATCTCCTTGAGAACTGCCGTTCCCTGCTGCAGACCAAACAAGACATCCTTCTGCACCAGGGCGAACTCGACGTCGCTGGTGAGGATCTCCAGCTGCGCTAGTTGGGCATCGGTCTTGGATAAGAGACCCTCCTGGTACTTCTTCCTCCTCAGCGCTAGCTTTGCCTTGCCTGTATCTCCCTTGGCTAGACATTCCTTCGCAATCTCCTTCTCGCGGTCGGTGAGGACGGTGATTCGCTTCTGGTACTGTCGCAGCTTGTCGCGCTGGTTCTTCATATCCAGGATCGCCCTGGCATGTCAGCGACATTTTAACACGTTGCTGGGCTTGACTCACTTATCCTGGGCAGAGATCTTGTTTGCGCTGCTCGAGTTACCCATATTGCTGCGATCTCCATGAGTGATGAGGGTTGCGCATGCGACATGTCCCTGTGCCTTGATTGACGTATGCGAGCTAGGGCCGAGGCTAGTTCTGCGCTAGTCTTATCGATAAGTCGTCGCGAACTTTTTTGGAGACGCGAGCATGCGCATCAAAAGTGAAATAGCACCGTCGCATTGTTCTCAAGTCCAAGTCCGACGTGACCATTTCGTGCCGCATTCGTACCTGTTTCCTGATAATAGGCGCTAAGGCTCACTAGCGCTAGCAGTTCCAGATCACGGGAATTGACACTTAACGCAGCCATCATAGACTCCTCTGGCCCAAGGTACACTGGCCGTACCGAACCGGCTTTCTTATTCTACGTTACACTCATCCTGGCGCATAAATACCGTCTTCGCTCTACGTTTGACACTTCTGCGATACCACGCTAGTTGTCATGGTATCAAAAGGCCGACCCTCCCTCCAGGCAGGCCTGGACAAGGAAGTGTACCAGGTGGTGCGCAAATATCTCGACGAGAAAAATGAGTCGGCGCTGAAACTGCGCCCGTCGACCGTATACGACTATATTCAACGCTCCAACTCGAGCCTGAAGAGACGGCCAAAGAAGCAAATCGAAGATTCAATCGACCGCGTAATTGACGTTATCCGCGAAGACGAAGAACCCGATTCCGAAGACGAAATGGCAGAACTCGAAGGAGACTTTACTATGGACGAACCGAAAGACAAAAAGGACCGATCAAGCGATTGGATGAATAAGCAGATTGTCAGCCAATGGGCAATCCCGCCAGCTGCAAACGGGGAGAAGAGTGAGAAGAGCGAGAAGAGCAAAAAGCGAGACAGTGGGAAGACAAAAGAGGAGAGGGAAGCCAAGAGACAGAAGAAGGCAGGGGCACAGGAGAAGGAGAGCAAGATCGACACAGCAGCTCCCACGGGGGTTACATTAGAAGATCTCGGTGGCGTGGAAAAAGTCAAGGAACAGCTCAAAGAGCATCTCGTGTTGCCTCTTCTCTGCCCTCAGGAATATGCGAACCGCAAAATCCCAATACCACGCGGTATATTACTCCATGGTCCACCAGGATGTGGTAAGACTGTCATAAGTCGAGCCTTCGCTGCCGAGCTCGGTGTGCCGTTTATTGAGATTTTGGGTCCATCCGTTGTGTCGGGTATGTCTGGAGAGTCTGAGAAGCAAGTAAGGGAACATTTTGAGAAGGCCAAGGAGGTTGCCCCATGCTTGATCTTCATCGACGAAATCGACGTTATTGCGCCCAAGCGCGACAGTGCCCAGAGTCAGATGGAGAAGAGGATAGTTGCCCAGCTTCTGATATCGATGGACAGTCTTGCTATGGAGGGCAACAATGGAAAGCCTGTGATCGTACTGGCCGCTACAAACCGTCCCGACAGTCTGGATCCAGCTTTGCGTCGAGGAGGCCGATTCGATACCGAGATTAACATGGGTGTACCGAATGAGCTTATGCGACGGTCTATACTCCAGGCTCTTACACGCGAACCAAAGCTATCCCTTGATGTCGATTTCAGTGTACTAGCGAAGAGGACAGCAGGATTCGTTGGCGCTGATTTGAAAGATCTTGTAAGCAAAGCGGGCACATGGTCCATGGACCAGTTTCGAAGAGCACTCGAAAAGCAGGCGGCCAACGCGGAGACTACGATGGAGATCGACGGTGGCATTTCTCTTAATGCCGATAGCCTCATGAACCAATCGATTAGGCGACTAATCACCCGTGTAAGAGACACGGAAGCTCCCCGACCAGAAGGTTTCGAAGATACTGTCATCACAATGGAAGCCTTTGAAGCCGTTCTGCCTACTATTACCCCATCGTCAAAACGAGAGGGCTTTGCTACCGTACCGGACACTACATGGCGAGACGTTGGCGCGCTGGCAGGCGTCCGCGAAGAGCTCGAGATGGCTATTTGCGAGCCTATCAAAGACCCTGCAAAGTTTGCGAAATTTGGTATCTCTGCACCCACCGGTGTACTCTTATGGGGACCACCTGGTTGCGGTAAGACGCTTCTGGCTAAGGCGGTGGCGGCAGAGTCCAAGGCGAACTTTATCAGTGTCAAGGGGCCGGAACTGCTGAACAAGGTACGCTACATATTCTGATATAATCTGTGTTCGATGCTAACAGGCTGCAGTACGTAGGAGAGTCTGAAAGAGCTCTACGCCAGGTTTTCATGCGCGCTCGATCCTCTGTTCCATGCGTTATCTTCTTCGATGAGCTCGATGCTCTCGTGCCTAAACGCTCTACCGAGCTTCACGAAGCCTCCGCACGCGTTGTCAACACACTACTTACCGAACTCGACGGCCTATCCATGCGTGAAGGCATCTACCTTATCGCAGCCACCAACCGGCCCGAGATGATCGACGAAGCGATGCTCCGACCTGGACGCTTGGAGACCCTACTTTACGTCGAACTTCCCAAGCCAGAAGAGCGTGTCGATATCCTGAGAGCGCACATTCGCAAGCGTGGCGTCATTGCTCCCGAACTTGCTGAGATAGGCCGCCAAGATGTTTGCAATAACTTCTCGGGCGCCGATCTTGAGAGTATGCTACGAAAAGCCGGACAGCATGCCTTAAGACGGCGCAGTGACATTGTGGAGGAGTTGGACTTTGTTGAGGCAGCCAAGACTGTTAGACCTAGTGTGGGCGATGTGAAGAAATATGAGAAGCTGAGGGAGAGGTTTGAGACAAAGCTTTGGTAAAAGACGAAAGCATTAATGATCTTTGCAAAGAAAAGGCGAGCGTATAGATATCTGGGGGTATACAGGCTTTTGCTTGCGCAAATAGCGGAGAGCACACAATCATCGTTGTCATGTAGCATTTTTGGTACGTATGGAGCGCGTTCGATTGGCATGCGAATATCCTGAATACAGCGCGAAGGTAGTCGATGTTTTACCTGTCAACATTGTAACCAGGTCCTACCCATGTAGTCTTAAAGCATACTGTATTCTGGCCACTTTCGCAGCCTACGCATCCATCGTCTGGAATCCCAAAGTTGCACCATCGTACCCCTCCCTAGCCTTAAATCTCTTCTTAAACCATCCTTTCACGCCACCTCCTTTAGCCCCTTCCACCAGCTCTTTTCCCGAAATCTCCTTCCTGTCACCACTCGTCCGCCAATCTCCTAGTTCTGGACTTAGCGGCTTATCGCTCGCAGCAACACTGGTTTCGCTATTTTTGCTTTCCCTTTCTCCGGTGCCAATACTTAGCAACCCAGCCGAAGTGGCGAACGTAGAGACCGTCGGCGACTTCTCTAGTATCGGAAATGTCGGCGATCTCCCCACAAACGCCGGGAAAGTAGGTGACCTGCACCCATAGTCCAAGAAACTAGCCACGGTAGGCGACGTCTCTGAAAGATTCGAGGAAGTTGGGGATCTTGACACTGCGCCCCAGCCAGCAATCTCCGACAGTTTGCATTCGAAACAGCCGACGTTATCATTGCTTTCCTTGTAGCGCAGTTTGTATCTTCTGCAGGCGCGCCCAGTGCTTGGTTGGCGTTGGGAAGGTGTGAGAATGAGGCAGTAAGTCCAATGAAGGAGGCGCGTGCGTGCGCAGCGGCGGTAGCGGGTGTGAAGCTCGATGCACATGACGGCAGCTTCTTTGGAGACGCGTTGATGCAATGCTACTCGGAGATCGACTGCGCAGATATGATGTCGGTGGCAGGACGGTTGGCTGCGTGATTGGTGGTGGAAACCGGTAGTGCGATGGAGATTACCTAGGTAGGAAAGGAATTCATCATTGCAAAAGGACTAGTGTTTCTTAGACATCTTACAGTTAGTGAGTACGTCCCGTGTGACGGAGTCTAGTGGTGTTTTCTCCGTGTGGATAAGGTTGCAGGACGAGACCGTGAAAAGGAACATGGTACATAGTGGTCATTGTGGAAAGCGCGTCAATACTGTCTCTACCTTGTGATGACTGTTAGTGTCATTCACTTCTCTCATAAGCTGGCTTTACGATGGTCTCGTTTGTACACCAAGTCAGTGGCGTGTCTGTATCTTCGTAAACTTCTCTTTTCCGGGTACAGCGGTACCGTGATCATGCTAGAAGTAGTTCGCTCGTACTTCCTCACCTCTTCTTGTTCTGTTTGTCTTAGTGAAAGTCCAGGTCAGCCTTCAGAACCTGTATAGCCGTCACTAGCCTGATCTTGACTACACCCAAACGTCACTGATAGTTTTGATATATCCGACTCATTAACCGCGAATGTGAAAAGATCCACTACCTGCTTATTCTGGGAAATCTTGGGGATGTTGAAAACTGCGGATATACCACCAAGCCAATGTTATTTCACATCTTGAGTTGAGTCTCCATGCAATGCGATGGTTCCGTGACACAATTCTGTTGGATAATTCGGAGATCTTTCTATTGATTGATGGCGACATACGACTAATCCAATATCAGTTCGTATGATATGTTGACTTTCCGCGGAGGAAGAGAACTCCACATGGCAGCTTCTTCGAGTAAATAGGTAATACGCCTGTTGAACGCTGCGGACGTTGCGCCGAACCAATACACTCTCGTAGCAGGAGATGAGATGGCTTGGCATACCCAAAAACTTGACCATATATCTACATTGGGTAGGTAGACAACAAGTCTGTTGAAGACTGCAGAATTGACGCCGAACCAATAGCTTGGTCTCATCTCAAGCTCGCGACTACGCACCGCGGAAGCAATTACCGCGGGCAGATAGTTTCCTTGTAGAGATATTAGGTCAGTGGCAAGAGGAGATTACGGTGGATGTTGCCGAAAGCAAACTACTCAGTGTGGAAAGTTTTAGGCAGGAAGGAATGAGTGTTGTTTGCAGCGGAGAGCAAAACCGACGAACGAAAGGCAGCGTTCACGATCATCTCCAGACTTGGAAATTCTAATCGAGGTCACTGGCCACTGGGACTATAAATAAAATGTGGAGCTGCACGGAAGCTGTTCCCCACCTAGTGTAGTGCTCACCAGACGCCGCGGAGCGTCAGTCACTTCTGCCAGTCTATTCGCCGCCGGTGACTTTCTCCGATACCCATGCGAGTAACGGAACTTACCGATGAAACTCGGTGCCTTTGTAATTATCACTGCTTTGCCATGAGGCGTGCATATAATCGCTATGGGTGATGGACACATTGTGGGCGGAAAAGGCAAATTATTTTCAGCAATCAGTTTTTGGCACCGTGATGTATAACAGAAAATTGAGTCCACTTTCTACCTAGACAATGCATGTGGGAGACAGGATGATAGAGATGTGCCTTTGGGTATGTTGGAGGCCTGAAATCTGTAGGGCAATGGTCATTAGTCCTACTTTGGTGAACAGTAGGATTGTAAGCATCCTAGAGACAGGTTTCTCTGTTTGCGACCTTGAATGGCAAGGTTGCAGGAAGCCGTGAGGTGACATATGAATCAGCTAATAAGCTTGCAATCCTGCATGTCCGGGATGTAGGATTCACTTCAAGGTTACACGTCAACCGTGATTGCCGCCCCGCAGCCTAAAGCAGCTTCCGGATATGGGACTTTTGATGCATGGTGTTAGGGACGAGTGGTGCGAACAGGGAACAGTGTCAAAGAAGTGGCCGTGGATACAGAAAATGCGCAAAACTCCAATTCAGGGAAGTAGATGGAAACGTACATTCCACGGGATATGACAATGTAGCCTTCTTGAACATGCACCAAACGTGGACGACAGGAGTTTGCCACTGAGCTGATCAGAACATTCAAATAGCAGTGCCCCGCGGCAATCCTGACCTGAGGATCACTTCCCTTGCATGATTTTGAATTCTGACTCATGTGGACTGGTGACGGGAATAGTGATTTGTGTGGGTCGTGTGTGCATATCCAGGTACAAGCTCCGCGGCATACCAAGACCGTGGCGAGACCATACCATGATGCGAATTCTCATACGACCTTTGACAACTCTGCGGGGCGGGCCTTCCGGGTCGTGCATCGCGATCGTCTTGTCACATGATGAAGAAGGATCTCGAACATTATTTCATACTTGCATACCTATGACACACTATTGGTAAGTTAAGGGAGGGGCCGGACCACACGAATGGTAGGGGGTTGCGCAGCCGCAGTCACCACCAAGACTCAAGACGTCTTCACCCTTCTTTCTGAATCCCTCGAGGCATATCCCCTTGTTTAATAGTAATACCCAGTACCGCCTTCGCGTTCCAAAGTTCCCAGGCCACGCGGCCCCTCGGCATTCAACGAGCTTTCTGGATGACCCAGAATGATGGCCTGCCTCGCCCCAAACACCCCTCCATCATCACCATCATTCAACGGTACCGTCAGATCGCCCTCTCTTTCACCTCCGCCCTCTCCTTCCCACTTAAGGAACTTTTCAAACGCGATGGTGCCACGTATGCTACCGGTTTTATCATAAGTCCGGATCATGTTGCGCATATGGCCGATCTCGCGTGCGCAATCTTTGCAGACGACCATTTCCCTACTGACATGGGTGCGCTTGACTGGGACTTCACATCTCACGGCCGCGAGCTGGTGATCTGGTAGGGTGCTGTAGTCCAGAGTCGTGGTACAGTTGTAGGACCCTGCGCTTGAGTCTGAGGTTCTGGGCGTGGTTGCGCCTGAAGGGCCAGAAACAGCGCGTCGCGAATTTATTGATGCATTTGTAGATGATCGGGAAAGCTGGCCACTCAGCGAGAAAAAACGTCGTGTAGACGAGCTGCGCTTGGGTGGTGATGCGAAGTTTACTGCAGGCGGAGAGACTGGTGGGGAGTTTGGCCCGCGAATTCGGTTAAGCGTCTCTATCGCTGTGTCGCACAGCGTCCATGGGTGCGTATGCGACTCCCCAATATGACCGCACCTGTAAATCAAAGCAGTCAGAGAGGTAGTTTTCAAGAAGAACCGCTATCCAGCGATCCCGCTGCGGTACGAAACGACTTACCCATTGTGCTGTGAGTAGTTGTGGTAGCACATTGCGACTCCTTGGTTGACCGAGATTGACTATGGCGCACAAATATGACGTAGTAGGGGTCTTGAGTTTAAGTGGTGCGGTGGAATGAAGTGCGCAAGGGTTTGTGGGGTCGTTCAGCGCAAAAGTTCTGGGGCTTGAGTTGAAGAACACGAAAGTTGTGTTGAGTGAATCAACTTGCACATGACATCTATACTATGAGTGAATTGACATATCAGCCATGACTTGTCATATGTCAACAATCAACTCTCGTATCCTGCCATGGTGCCTTGATTCCTGGGTGGAGCGGTGAAGTGATTTACACAAGGATCTCACGTGTTTTCGTCGACGTGGCAGTCCATGGAAAAACGTGATGATTCGGGTCTCAGATTGTCAGCTCTGACTGTTGCTACGTGCGCCCGGAAGACGGTTCAATCTAGGGACCCATTGAGCTATTGTAAGCGGTTCTTCATCTACAACGTGTCGGATAATCGACCGTAGCAGTGAAGTTTGACGCACTTTTGCGTGTGCGCGATATACTGTTTGGTATAGGGGTTCACACCACAATCATTCTGGGTTGGCCCTCCGATAGCCCTTGCGTTTCGTATCGGATGTGGACAGCCAGGCTGCGATGATGTCATAAACTCGAGGATCTGCTCATGGGTGGCATGGCTGGGTGGTAAATTCATTGGAAATCCTGAATCGTTATCGCAGGATTCGGCCCTATAATGAACAACAGCAGAAGATGTTATGGCCGTGTTGTGGCAGCGATTTAGCAGAATCAATGTCGCGCCGGCCCTAGCGCGAGCGCTGGCCACAATCACTCTGGCTCATCGTGTCTGCCACCTCACTTTGCCATCAACTAACTCGGTCAACGTTATCATGTCGTCTCATTGTTAGCATTGTTTGACATTGCAGTCACCACTAACGCGTAAATGTGTGGGGAGCCATGTCCAAAAAGTCCATCCTTACACGCACTGTTGTCGCGTCGTGGGAGAGGGACTGCATTCCCAAGGTTTGTCGCGATGCACTTGGTCAGTATACCCGGAAATCCATACGCTGTAATCTGCGAACCACTTCTGGTCTTCATGAACTTCCCGCGAGACAATGCAAGCAAGGAGCTGTTGCAGCTAATTAGTAGAGTCGCGTTGCGCGATGCAGCGAAACGAGCCGTTCAGGGCTATCTTAGTCAGGACAAGGTATGCGATTCATCAAAGGTGTAGTCTTTTACGCTTCTATCCTGGACAGTACAAATCGTGGTACTTTTGAAGGCTGCACCACGGCTCCTCGGGTACCACAAGGCAGGACCCGGGCTATGGTGTTGCTGCGAAGGACGGCGATATGTGCGTAACGTAACAGCCAACCCTTTCCCACTGCGGTCCTGCTCCATGCTTTGAGCCTGTGTCTTTTCGTGTCCATAACTTGCGTTGACCACCAGGGTCTTTCCAGCTTATCCTCACGCGTCACGAGAACCCGCCACGATGTGTTGCATAGTATGGTATTAGCACTAAAGATTGTAGACTTCTACTGACTATCACTAGTTTCCTACACGTCGTCATAAGCCTTCCGAACACCAAGTAGTAAATAGCGATCTCAGACAAGCCACCGCAGCTTCGTCGACTCCGAAGCGACAGCCCGCACGTCTCATAAAACTCAATCCGATCGCCAGCACCAAGCCTGTGCAGACAAGAGACGCAGCTATACCTCTACCGCCGAGATACCGATCGCGTGCCTCAGATATACCCAGGGTGCAGGATGTGACTGACCCTGCGATCCGGTCTTTGCTCTTTGGTCCTTTCGCTCAGATCGATCATCACCAACATTATGGCTCTGGGTTTGGTGCAAGACCGAACGTTATACACCACGACCCTGGCTGCGCTGGAGATCGTGGCTGCACGCGTGGTGGAAACGATGATTCGACGAATAGCGTACATCCAAGCTCTACATGCTCCACAAAGGATGATTTTGGGAGTGGTGAGCACGATATCTCATCGCACGGAGGTCATGAAGCCTTTGGGCATGCGGGCATGGATACTATTGGCTTCGGCGGTGGACATGGTCTTGACATAGCCGGTGGAGATGGAGGAGGTGATGGAGGTGGAGGATGCGATTAGATGCTCTGTTCCTTTTCGCTCACGGGTGTGGTGTCACGCATGTTCTTCACGCCGACTTACTCTTCCGGGTGTTGTTGAGGTGCGGGGGTCTTATTTTAAGCCCCTAGCCAATGGTTCGTGAGGCTTTCGTGTAGCAAGGCTTTGACCGGTCTTATCAGGCATCCATTGACGCACGAGTGTCTTTCCGGTGAACCTCGATCTAAGACGTCTGCTACACACTCAAAAAGGTGTCCATGGTCTCTCAAGTATTCCTTCGTCTTGTTGAATCATCGTGCACCGCGTCTTCGCTTTCTCTTATTATTATTTTCGAATTATCGTGCTGCCAGTATCTTGACCTTATCAGAATCACGCACAACTCACACGTTTACTACTGTACAACCTCGTCTAAAAAGAAACATGTGCAGTCAGCCTGGTATGCCGCTGCAATATGAGGTCAGTAGCCCACGGTCGCGGCCCCGACGACGCCGGGTAAGGCCAAATTCAGATCAAGAGATGGTCAGACACCAGCGCTACAGCTTAGACTCTCAGCAAGCTACTAACTGGATTCAGATGAACTACGCCGGGTTCTGGGACCCTAGTCTGGGTCCACAGCCTGGGTTTGTTCCTCCTCCAGGACCTGGATTACCTCCCGGCAATCAGCTCCCTCCCGAAGATGACCTAGCCGAGGCTGTAGAGAAGGGCAAGCGCTGCAGTCACCGAGACATATACTATGTCCCGACAGATCAAGATCCAGACAGGTTTCACTGGGTGGATGAGAAACCGCTTCATTACGGTGCTACTGGCGATAAGCTACGAACGAAGAAAACTCGAGAAGCCTTTGCAGTGAATGTTTACCATCGTTTCAATGAGAAAACAGACGAATGGATTATCCACGAATTACGCATAAACAGTGAGCTTCTCCATACGGCCCTGGAGAAGATATTGGAAGGCTACCCGGGTCTGACACAACATGAGATGAAGTCGTTCTCACCACCATTTCTCCCGTTCATTCATCGATGGCAAGCGATGCTTAGCTACAAAGACCATCTGGACCCGGACTCTGAAACCAAACGCCACCTGCAGTTGCTCCAGGAAGTTCTTGAGCCTCTGCTGAAGGAATCGTTCGAAAAGATCGAAGATGTGAAAAAGACGGGCCATGTGGCGTTCGAAGACCTGAATCTAGTGTATATACCCGCAATGATAGTTCTGGAACATGAGACCGACTCGGCTGGCATGGTACGTAGTTGCCAACTGATGTATCCTCCTCCGCCCATCCCGGTATGCTGGTCGATCGGCGTTGATGTGGTTGACTGGGATGGAAGACGATGTGGTCTTCTTGCTCAAGCAAAGCGTGTACCCCAATACTATGGTGAGAGATGACCCCTTATGAAATGCATGTGAGCCATACACTGACTTCATACACGCAAATTTTAGGTCTGCGAGCTTTGACTACACTGGAGGTTTCACCCCTCGACGGACTTCCAAACGAAGAAAAGGTTCGTGAGCGACTTATCACTCGCGGTCGGAGATTCGAACAGCTTCGCGGCCATTTCTTCAAAGCCTTCACCGACGAGTATGAAGAGCGCGTAAACGAACGAATGGTCATTGATGCGCGAGCATACCACAAATTCGAGGCTCCATCATTTCCGGACTATGCTCAACTATCCGAGATTGGACAACTTACTTGGGCCCAATCGATGAATCGGTACTCTTCCAGCATACCCAACACTGCGGGATCGCCAATCCAAGTGGACCTTTCGCCAATGACCGACAAAGAATGCCTTTTGGCTGTTCACTATGTCAGAGGTTTCGATATTGAAAAGAAGAAGTGGTTGAAGTTGGATGTCACAAAGATCCATGAGATACCATGGGCTAAGCGTGCTTTCGACAGTCTAGTACTGGATCAGAATGAAAAGGACTTGGTACTGGCTCTGGTAGACCGTGATCAGTTCAAGCAAGGGAAGCCATTCGACGAGTCAGTAATGTCCCCGTATGAACTGCCCTTGAGAAGATACTGACTTTATCCATCCACGTTTAGCTTCATCGGCGGCAAAGGTCAGGGCATGATTATGCTTCTTTGTGGTCCCCCAGGTGTTGGTAAAACACTTACCGCGGAGGCTGTCTCGGAACACCTGCGTCGACCCCTGTATAAGCTTGGTGCTGGTGACCTAGGAACGACAGCGCGTATTGTCGAGGACAACCTTGAGAAGGCACTAAAGCTGTGCGGCCACTTCGGTGCTGTTCTCCTCCTCGACGAGGCGGACGTATTCATGGAGGCGCGCACATCAAACAACCTTCAACGCAACGAACTTGTTTCGGTTTTCCTTCGCCTACTCGAATACTACAAAGGCATCATGATTCTGACCACGAATCGGATGCGCAGCATCGACACGGCTTTCGAATCTCGAATCGATATCACGCTGAGCTACAGCTCACTTACAGAAGCTGACCGCCAGCAGGTCTGGCGTAACTTCCTGGCTACCATGGAAAACGAGAAGATCGACATTGAGGAACCAGATTTGATCAACTTGGCAAAGTTGGAATTCAATGGCCGTCAAATAAAGAGCGCGATCAAAACCGCAAAGATTCTCGCAGCGAAGAAAGAGGAACCCCTAAATGCGAACCACCTGATGGCTGTACTGAACCTGAGGAAAAAGGCCTTGGGTATGATGGATGGTGGGGCGGATGTGCAGGAACCTGTAGACCAGGCGCCCGAAGCGGATGAGCTGGTGTTCGTAGGCGAAGTTGGACATACTATTGAGTGACGTCGATTTTGGGATTCTGCGCCGATGTTAACGGCTAAGCTTAGCTATCGTACAACAAAGGATGACATGAAACTGCGTCAGCTGGCAATTCATTTTACCAGCATCATGCCTCCTTTGATAGCATGTCTGGCTGCGCTCACCTACTTATGCATCAGAACTAACACCGCAGTCAGTCCAGGGGTTCAAACAGTGTAACGATTGTGGTTCTTGGCTTGATTGGGACACCAAGTTCGCCAAGGAAACATTCCATTCACACGTCAGCATGTACGAGGAGATCGCCTGCAAACACTAGGGGTGCGAGCATCAGTCGGTTTGTGAGAAGCGTACGGTCAGTGAGAGAAAGAATCACTCGTCCGTCGAGGCCGCAATGTCGGCGCCGAAGAGACAGGATACCTTTGTCATCTTCACTGTTGATGGAATAGCGAGGAAGGCTGCTGAATGACCAATATCGGAACCTACCAGTGATAGCCTCATAATTGAGAACTACCAACATAGTAGGGAGAAAGAGTTGCGATCGGAGAAGGAGAGGAGGCGTAGCAGATTGCAAGGAAGTAGTATCTGGGCGGTTTCGTGAGTAGTCGCATTGATCTCTCTAGGTGGGAAGATTTGCCCGTTGATGGATTCCTTATGCACATTTGTTGTTTACTGCTCTTAGCGTTCAGCGGTGCTTCTCGACCCTGTAGACAGATCTTGCAGTGTATCTCAATCGATCTACTGGATTCACAATGTGCTTCAATGCTCGCAGCCCGGATGTGACAAATGGTTGGGTGGACATGGATCGCATCAAACACTGGTGTACTTCTTGGGCGACGATCAGCAACGATGACATGTTCATCTGCAAGTAATCCACCGCATCTCTGGGAGCGCTACACCCAAAAGGTGTCTCTGCAACCCGACTTTCATCTCTAAATCTTAACGCGGAACAATTATTACGTCGCTCGAGCTTCTAGATCGCGTCGGCAGTTCAACTCTTTCCGTCGATTACACTGCTCGAGATTGATGGGTGGTTGCTTGCCAGCTTACGTGCTTGCCAACGACAGCCAGCGAAACTCGCCCGACCCGAGGTACAGGACTCACAGATGGCACGTGATGTGTACTCGACTGTGCTGCAACACTAACAATTGCGACTGGAAGGAACAGGACCGATAGACTGGCTCAGATGTACAAGGGACCACATATTTGTTTTAGGCTACTTAGCACAGCCTGCTTCCATCAAGGAACCGAACTGATGCTGGAAACCAATTACGGGTCCATTAAGCCGATCCTTTAAGCCACAATAACGGCGCATGAAGCCACCACGGCACACTCCCCGGATAAGGTCGGAGGATCGGGTGGGGTCCAACTCCGCCTCCGCTAATCTGTTTGTGCTCAAAAGCTATTGCATACGTAGTACAAAAGCCGCTGAACTATTATAAATCGGAAACTCGCCAACGCGCCATGCGGCGATATGACGACGAGCCTGATGAACCCGCCTCGGCTGGGCCGCTCTTGGTGCTCAACATCGGCAGATGCGGGCGGCCCGACTGGCGGTGTCATTACGGTTGCTCGACATGTACATGTACATATACCTAAGTACTTTTGGCAGGACGACACAAACGATTGTTGTTGTACGCTGCGATCATGCCTTCACTATTGAGTCTCGGAGTGACTGTCGCCCTTTCTGCGACTAGTCTTCTCGCACACCCACTTTCCAATGCGCAACTGGTTTCAAGAGCAGAAGATGTGCTCCCAGAATACGATTATGTGATTGTAGGCGCCGGCGCGTCGGGTCTCACGGTTGCCAATCGACTATCCGAGGATCAGGGTAGGCTTTACACATGTCGCGTGGCATGCAGGCGGCTAACATGACCCTGAATAGATGTAAGCGTATTGGTCATCGAGGCTGGCGATTTGTGAGTTATATGAGATCTACATGCATCGCTAAGATACTAACCTGTGTGTCAGCGACCAAAATGAGGATTATGTCACCATTCCAGGCCTAGCAGGCGGTGCTGTTGGAACAAAGTACGACTGGAATATCTCCTACGCCGCGGATGAAGGGTTGGACGGTCGCGTTGTTTCCATCCCGCAAGGCAAAATTGTGGGCGGATCGACGAAACTCAATCGCATGGTCTTTGATCGTGGAGCGCGATCTGATTACGACGGATGGGAGACGTTAGGAAACGAGGGTTGGAACTTTGAAACATTCCTGCCATATTTCAAAAAGGTACGTTTGCTCAGCAACAGCGTCAAAGCATCTAACCAGGTTATAGAACGAGAACTTTACGCCACCGACACCAGAGATTGAGGCAGAATATAACATCGAAGTCAATCCCGAATACCACGGAGACAAAGGATATATGCAAACAACTTACTCTCCCTTCTTTTGGCCTACGACGAGTGAGTCCAACACAAATTTTGCCATACATGAGATACTGACGCTTTGTTTAGAGAACATAGTGCAAGCTACCGAGGAACTCGGTATCTCTATCAACGACCAAGCAACTGGAAACGCATTCGGTGGTTACTTTTGCCCACACAACCTGGACCCAAAGACTGCAACACGATCCTCCGCGGAGGAAGCCTATTATGCATCCGCTGAAGCGCGCGCAAACTTTCACATTCTTACCGGCAACCTTGTATCGCGTATTCTCACAGAAAAATGCAACGATACGGAAGCGGTCAAGGTAACTGGTGTTGAGTTCTCGGCCTCTGCAAATGCGACCCGCCAACAGACCAAAGCCAAGCGGGAAGTCATTCTTGCTGCTGGAACGCTGCATACGCCTCAACTGCTGCAAGTGTCTGGTATTGGTGAAGCTTCTCTGCTCGAGTCAATCAATGTTGAGACAGTTGTTGATCTTCCTGCCGTTGGATACAATCTGCACGACCATCTTTCTATTGCTGTAGTGAACATACGTGAGTATAATGTTATATGTTCCAGCTGGAGAAACCACTGACAGCGGCACAGTAAACACCACTATCCTGACCAACACCCTGACAACGAACACTACCTTCGCCGCGCAAGCTCGCGAGCAGTACGACAATGACAGATCCGGCCCACTGACCTCCCCGACCGGCGATTTCCTTCTTTTCTTGCCAGTGCAAACCTACTCTAACGCCACGCAATCCATTTTGTCTCAGGCTGTCGCTGGTGGATCATCCGCCTCCCTCCCACCCAACACGCCCGCTGAAGTCGCACGAGGCTATGGAGCGCAATTTGATTCTCTTAACAAGAAGCTTCAGGCTAATGACTCCGCAATGATGGAGGTCATCTGGGCTGACGGCGTCATGGTTCTCGGACTCCAGCATCCATACTCGCGTGGAAGTGTAAAGGCAAGTTCGCCCAGCATGTTCGATGCTCCGGTCGCCGATGTGGGATTTCTACGCAACGAAGTCGATACTGCACTGTTGCGCGAAGGTGTACACTTTGCTCGAAGACTCGCTGCTGCGCCGTCCATTCTCTCGCTCAACCCCTTCGAAGTCTCGCCCGGAGGCAATGTCACCGCCGACGCGGATATCGACGCTTTTATCCGCAGTACTGCGTCGACACTCTACCACCCCGCAGGTAGCTGCAAGATGGGTTCCAGAGAAGATGGTGGTGTCGTGGACCAGAACCTGAAGGTTTACGGCGTGGAGGGCTTGAGGATTGTGGACGCGAGTGTAATGCCCATCTTGCCAGCTTCCCATATCATGACCACTGTTTATGCAACTGCGGAAAAGGCAGCGGATATCATTAAGGAGGCTGCGAAGGAGAAGCGTAAGGTATGAAAAGCCTTCGTTGGAAAAAAGATAGCTTGAGATCTTGAGCAGAGATTCAATACGAAACTACTGTTTTCATACGCATGAATATTGTGCTTTACCAATCAGACAGATCGCGGTCAGCATATGCATCATGTCCCCGCGATCTTCCGTGGAATGTGCTCGTAATAATATAGAGTCTCTCCACTCTTTCCACCCTCGAAAAGTCCAAGCGCCAACTTCGCAATAGCGTCTCCGCAGAGCTCAGGTGGCTCCACCATCTCGTCGCCCATCTCGTCCCAAATCCTGAACCGCTCAATCTCATGGTCCGCCATAACCCCCTGATACCTCCCTTCAACTAATCCATCGATCATTTTCGTCCGCGTCAACTTCGGGTATACGCCCTGCACGCTGAGTAGAGGCTCTTCATGTGCGAGACAGGAAATGAACCGGGTTAGTGCGGCTTTGGTGGTGCTGTAAGGGGTCCAACCATGGTAGGATATTGTAGTATCGCATGCTGAAGATAAGATTATAACTTTGCCACGACCAGCATTTAGAGGATGAGATGTCCGTGACGCACGGAGATGTGGGAGGGTGAGCTGAACCTAAGAGACGTTAGTCATGAGGACAGTAATTGAGCAATACCTTGCAGTACGAGATGTGCTCAGAGTGCTAGGATGTCAAGTTGTTACTTACCATACTCATGGCCCCGAAAACATTGATATCAAAACTTCTCTTCACAGCTTCCATGTCCAACTTCTCCAATCTTTGTATCGGTGTGATAACGCCCGCGCAGTACACCAATGTATCGAGTCCTCCAAAATGGTTAAAACATGTCTGGACCGCTAACTCTCGGTCTTCCTCTACTGTGACATCGCCTTCGACTATCCTTAGGCGCTCTCTCTGTTGTTTCGTAAACTCGAGCTTGATGGTTGAATCTATAAGCCCAAATGCGATTACTTTGGCATTCAATGGTAGGTAAGGCGATGAAAGAATGCATTGCGTGATGGCGTATCCAATTCCGGACGTTCCGCCAACGACGAGGATGACCTGGGGCTTCGATGCCATGACGTCTGGAGGAAGAACTTGAGTAAGTATGCACGTATGACGGATGATGCACGCAGATTAGTTGATGCAGATTTGGAGCTTGTGTCGTTTAAGATGGCACCCAGAAGTGGGGACATACCCCGCGCTAGATCTGAAAATGGCAAAACTTGAGAGAAAGGCTTCGGATAGCTGATTGAACCAGGTGCGTTGAACCTCCGCGGCCCTTTTTGTGGTTCTATGGTAGTCACATATCACTACAGCCTTGCCTTCGCACCTTCAGCATCTTCTATCATGCCTTCTTCTACAGCCTTGATCTGCAACGCTAGTATCCGACTGTAGAACCTTGAGAGTGCCAGATTACCACCCATAAACCACAACCCAGGATGACCGCTCTTTTGCCACATGGTTCTGAACTCACCTTCGTCGTTGAATCCCCACACGTCGCTGACGCGGTCCGCTACTTCATCGCCAAAGATCTTACGTGCCTGCGTGCGCATGTTTTGGTACCCAGTCGCGAACACGATCTCATCGGCCTCCAGCTTATCACCATCCGCGAATTCGATTCCATCTGGTAGAATTTGCGCAATTTCCTGGCCTTGCTTGACCTTGATCTTCCCATCAATTATGAGTTGAGATGCTCCGACGTCGATGTAGTAGCCGCCACCGCGCTGGAAATACTTGATAAGAAGACCTGAATCCATTGGCCCACTGTCAACAACGAAGCCAGCTGCGCGAAGGCCGTCGTGGATCTTCTTGTCATGATCAGCTTGGATCTTAGTGACTTTGATCTGCTGTGCCTTCAGAAGCTCGCTTGGCAAGCCCCAGAAAGTAAGGTCGGCATCGTCAACGGGCGGCGCATCTTGATCGTACAAACCCTTGTTGCCGATGTCGGTGATGGCTTCGGAGGAGACAACGCATGTTGTACTGCGCTGCACAATAGTAATGTCGTACCCTTTCTCGAAGAAGTCTTGCGCGATGTCATGCCCGGAATTACAGCACCCTACAACAATAGCCTTCTTGCCTTTAGATTCTGGATTCGCGCCAGGATGCTCAGAGCTGTGGCATAGCCGGTCGCCTTTGAAGCTTTCCATGCCTTTGATCTGGGGGAAATTCTTCTCGCCTGAATGACCAGTTGCCTGCACGATGTGTTTCGGGTGCAAAGTCCGCGTTTGAACGGATCCATCTGCTTTCCGACGCTCGACAGTCATGGTCCACTGCTTCTTGCCCTCATCCCACGACGTTGATTTGAGGCTCGTAGAAGTCCATACGTTAAGTTCGAGCAGATTCACGTAAGCTTCGAAGAACTCAGCGAGCTTGTCCTTGGGGGTAAAGATAGGCCAATGTGCTGGGAAAGGTACATAGGGCATATGGTCGTACCACACTGGGTCGTGCAGTACGAGTTGCCGGTACCGCTTGCGCCAGTTATCGCCAACTCTTTCGTTCTGATCCACCATGAGTGCAGGAATGTTGAGCATCTTCAGGCGTGCAGCAACTGTCAGACCACCCTGTCCAGCACCTAGAATCAACACCTTCGGGTCAATCTCTTCTTTCTCCGCATCCCGGGTCTCCTTCCAGGTCTTTCTGGCTGGGTCCCCGCCATGCTTAACACCCTTCGTCCGTCGGTGCCCCAGCGGCTCTTCATGACCCTTGAGCTCCTTTAGCAAGGTGTAGAGCGTAAACACTTTCCATTGCCCGCTGTCATCCGTGAGATTCATGACACCCTCGCCACGCCCAACACTTGTTTCGAAGGTCACAAAAAGATTTATGCCGTTGACGTCGCCCAAAACATCGATTGCTCCAAACTTTGGCGCCCGATAATCCGAGCTCTTGCTCACTTCGACTTTTTCCAGCCGGACCTTGCTAGAGTCCAAGTACTTCTTGATTTCGGCTGAATGTGGGCGTACGAAGTCAGTTTATGTCTCGTATGCAGTCCGCGCAGGGACACTTACAGCTGCCCTTCGCAGTTCTCAGATCCCAAGTCATGGCCAAGTGGTCTCTCCAGTAGCTATTGTCTTTGCAGAAAAGGTCTGCAATCGCTGCATGATCTCGCTTCGCAAGCGCATCGTTGAACCGTGTGACTATCTCGTTCGCAACCCTGTGTGCATCGACTGAATCGCTCTTTGACGACGCTGGGAACACACCAACTGGTATGTTGACGCTGCCCGTCTCAGGACGCTCGCTGGAGCGGATCGAGATATCGCCTACCCCCATGTTCGTGGCTTGTGTAGTGACGTAGGGACGAAACCTGAGCGAATACAGGCTATGTGATGGCAAAGTTGAAGACGTTTATATGACTACAGCACAAGAAGCATCTTTTAAACATGGTCATAGGACTCGGGACGTGCCATCAGCTGAGTACACGGCTTACCAGCTTTGTTCAATCCGTGTACGCGTGTAGCATGCCAAGCAATCTTTCCTGAACGGTTATTGTGCATGGTCGGCAAACCTTCCTTGTTGGCAAGTGCGGGGGAATCGTTGCTTTGCTCCGGGGAAGCAAGGTGAGCATTCCTTCTACCCGCAACATCCTCGCAGCAATCTCCGATGTGCGGACAGTCTCCGTACTCGCAATGCATTTCTGCTCGAGCATCGAAGAGTGAGAATCAAAATGCAATAATGTCACGTGTATGTTTAGATTACCTAATATAGTCAAGCGCACAGCGCGACAACCTCTTGTCTTCCTGATGGATAAAATATCCGCTCTCTCTGCGTGTCTTTGTGGTTTCAGACAGACGACTAGGCGAAGCTGTGATTTACACCGGCTTGTCATTGCCATGTCAATGATAAGGTAAGTGAAAGTCTTGTGAGTTCATTTTTCAAATGGAGTTTTCGTCGCATACGTTGCCATCCTATCGATCAGGGCAGCAGCGGCTTTCCCGGAAGTATCAAGTCTTGCATATCGGCATGGCCTCACATCGAATCTCACAATACCGACGGCATCATGTCTGCTTACTTTTCGGCAGAACCACTCGGCCCATCAACTCGGCGTATCTGACGTATAGTCTCCGAAACTCTGCTCGGCGTGATCACTCAACACCTGATACCCAGTGCTGGTCTGTTTAGAATCAGATGCCTGTCCAATTCAGCCGGGTTCCAGCATGCGCCCACGCACATGAGTGTGGTTGATATTCGCCGAGGGGAAGAGAGCGCTCTAATCGACTGGAGAACGTTGTCGAGAAAAGCATTTATGCTCTACGAGGGTCGCAGCGTGGCTAACAGGACACAAGCATGAGGAAAGAAACATTCCGTCTAATCGTAATTATTCGATCTATAATTATCATTTCATCGCATGTCTATATCGCGAAATCAATAGGTATTATATATTTCAACCGAGCCGTGCTAAACGAGCAAACAAAGATTCTATACATCAATGGCCTTCATGTTCAGCTCGGTCGTCTCGGCCATCCCCAGCTCTTTTGCTGCACGAGCGCCGCCTCGTCATCACTATCGTCCACTAGCCGCTTCGGCGTCAAGCCACTCCTCATACTCTCATTGCCTTCGGTTATGCTCTCCAGGCTCTTTTGCCTGGGCAGTCCTCTTTCTTCAATCACCACGCCGTGCGATTGTCTCCTCCCATGACCCCCTGAGATCTCCACTTCAGAGCCTCTGCGCTCGTAGTGTGGATTTGGTTCAGTATGCACGATGACTTCCCTTGTCTCTTTGATTTGATTTCCTGTGGGGGCAAAGCTGACGACACGATGCTGGTCTTGGTCGCTTGTCGCTTTCGTATCGACAGTATAGGAAGCGAAGCTCGCGAGCTCGTGGACTGAGCCGCGCGATTTGTGGGGAACTGTGCCGCCAGTGCGCTGGCCGGATGTGGATTGGTTGGACGAGGATTTGAACTCTTGCGCAATAGATGCCATGCCGGTTTTGCGTGATGTGGAGATTGCGATGCGCTTGATGAGGTTGGCCATTGTCATCTCGATGTTGAGTTTAACCAGGTAGGCAAGTGGGTGGAATTGAATGTATCTAGAAAACGATGGGTTAGGAAAGCGAGCTAGGTGGGCGCTCAATGGAATAAGTACGTACACAAAAGAGTTTGGTATCGACATCGCAGCAATGATCATGACGTCCATAAGAAGTGATACCATGACAATCTGCTGGTTGAAGCGAACAAGCTTGTTGTACTTGGTGAGGCCGTTGTTGATGAGATTCTCCTTGACAGTCTTCAAGAAATACCAGTTCAACGCTGCATCGACAAGAAGGTAAAGACCTTTCTCGATTCGGTCCCAGTACTCATTGACAAGATGATACCTGATGCTTTGTTAGTGCACTGTATGGTATACTTGAGTGCGCTCTCTGCAACAGTGTCGTTGCCACGACTGCTATGTCGATTGAGTTCAGATAAACATCTTTCTCATCTCAACCATTCATACAACGCGCTTAGCGAAAATGCAACTTACGTTGAGTTAATCTGTAACCGTGCTGGAATCCAGATGTTGAACACGCTGATGTTGATGGCGGTGACGAAGACGGCAGTGGTGATCATGATCCACCTCGACCGCTTTCGGTCAGGTACGATGACACGAATACGGTTGATGATAATCTGCAACAGAAGCTGAACCTGAATACACCACCAGAAGAGGATCGTGAAGTAAAATGCGAAACCTGTAGTTTGATCAGTATAACCACAAATTACCGTACGTTGGAGCCACTTACTTGGTCTGATGTACTTCAACAAGTGCAGGAAACTCTCAAGTCCCATCACGAACGAAACGATAAGTTCCAGCCATATCATCCAGATGTACACACTCCTCAGTGGTGATCGAGATCCTCGTGTTTGTTTTTGTATAAGCCATAGGGCTACGATGACATTGATCAGTGTCAGCGCCCACACCACGGAGGCGATGATGATATCTGATTTGGTGATAGGCTCGTTCTCGTAACTATCTGAGATGAAAGGGCCCCATGGTTGAAAGGATGGTACATCTCTGAATTCGCCGCTCATGTTGGGTCGGCGTAGAAATGTGGTGCAGTGTGAGGGAAGGCCTTACAACGAGCGTTCACAATTCAGCGAACGTGGTGTTGTATGCGATATAGGCTCGGTGGAGGATGAATCGTAATGACACAAGCGAGACCCTGGCCATCTTTTGTCCAGACTGAGTGGTCCATAACGGCAGCTAAGGAGACTTCAGGAGATGAAGCGAAGAGTTGACAGATTCTCGAGTCGGAATAAGGTTCAGTAGAAAGTGGCGTAGTGGCCCAATGTTCGAGAAGGATTATTTCTATTCGTTGGGCGTCAGGCTTGTGTGGATATCTGGGACGCCAAACGACCGATCCTTTCGTGAATCGCGCTACTAAGCCTGTAACAGCATTGTCGCTTGCCCTGGGATAGTGCGGTGCCTGGTCCGACCTGCGTACGGGACGGGATCTATCTTATTGGAACACTAATGCTCGCCTGGCAGGGAAGGGCATCCCTTTCGCGGGGTGGTGTTCGAATCTTACTGCAGAAGCTTCAGGTAGATGCATATCAGCATGTAGACAGCCGGGGAAGCGCTCAGGCTGCGATGTCTTGGTTGCGACATAGCATTGGCAGATTCTAAGTTTGCAGATCCCTTCACAGCTGGCAGCGGTGAGGGATGTACTCCGGAGTAGAAACTAGAGGTCTGTTCTGACACGCGCGGCGGCGCAGCTGGTGCTGTTTCCAAGCTATAGCGCCTGTCAAGATTCCTGGCGGCGCGCAAGGATTTTACCGTGTCTACGATGATGTTGAGCTACTAGCTACGGTGGGCTTACCGGTAGGTGTGGCGATCCTTCCGCGTACTGTGATTTGCCTACAGATGTCGACTACGGATGGCTGCAAAGTAAAGTTGCACTGGACCGCGTCGCATGAATACTATGACCAGGAAACGTACTACTCAGCTCTTCTGCAACCAGACGTCGCAGCCGGCGCACCTTCTGCTTCAACACATGATGCGACTGAGACTTTGGATTCTGACTTCCTTCACAGTTGTGGGGCTCCGTTGCATCATTGAAGCTACAACTGTCATGATCAATGCGGCTCCCGGGGGCCCGGAATTCCTCGTCTTGTCTCCTCAATTTCCATGTTTTCGGTCCAACCCCCGGCGATTTTCTGTTAGCGTCGGTGCGGCCGTACCGTTTGGCGTGGTATGGCGTACCGTATACCACGTGCCTCGTGCCTTCCAAGGCGCTTTTGCGCGAATGATTTCCAGTCCGTTCAACCTCGAGGCGGCGTCAGCTTGCAAAGGTCCGGGCACCTCCTAACAGGGTATACTGGTTCTGGATGAACGTCGGAGTTTTAGCAAGCTCCGATCGCAGGGAACAGGGCTACGAATGAAACGCGCACTGAGTGGCCTAGACAAGATTACCAAGATCGGACCTTTGTTTCCGAGCGAAAACTCAGAATCCCTCATCACAGTGCAACAAGATCTGTGGAGTGGATATGATGTCCCTAATAAGACCGCAGTAGAATCGCGGAAGGCCTTGTCGCTGATCGCCTGGAGAAGTCGGGAAGATTTACGACATGCGTTAGGCGGGTCCAGGCGATCATCGACATCTGGGCAACCCGGCGTTTCGAGTCGAATGGTCCTGGCCGATTTGCACTTGCTGCCTTGGGTTCCAGGTATACAGAACCAAGAACTTAGGTATCGATACTGTGATGGCATACAGCTTCGCGAGATCGACTAAGATCTTCATCATGAGCGTGGCTAGATCAGCTAACGATTCAGGGTCGCCGATAAACGTCCCAGGCCAAACGGAGCGCGCCCCGCAAACTTCGCCGGCAATGGACGCCTCCGGTGCGATCTCAATAACCGAGAACACGAGGTTCCTCGTCAGCAATACACATGCTCTCAATCCAGAGTAAGTATCGTTCGCAGCCACCAAAACCCAGTTCGATCTCTCGTCGCCCAACTTGGGAAGTCCTTGTACATGCCGGGTACGCGGCTATCTGTAGTACGCCATCTCAAATACCTGGCTCCCGCCGGATCATCGACGTCACCAGGCGCACTACGTTCTACATGGTTGATACGCATCAAGCTTGTGGCAGCGCCTCTGCCCATCACTCGGAGTATGCTGGTAGTGTAGGGCTGTAGCGCCGCAGTCAGCCACCAAACCGATGTCGCACGTGACTAAACTTTGTAAAATGTAGAATGAAAGACTCACGGTCTCTTTTCGATCGCCGACCTCGTATACGCAGTACACCCTCTCAGGTACTTTCGCTCAATTCATGCTATATCGCAAAAGGGAGGGAATGCTGTAGTGTCCACCGTCGTCCGCCATCATAGTGTGCGCTGTCCGCTCTTACCTCAGATCTTCCGCCCCAATTCCATGTTCCGCTCTCGGTCTATCCTCTTTCTGTCACTCGCTCATTATCTTTGCATACGCCAGGAGCTTGGTATGCTTATCTTCACTGCGATGGTGTGAGTGTGAGTGTAGCACTTTTGAAGGTAAGTAGAGGCAGAAATGGAACAAGATAGGTCGCGCGGCACAGAAGAGAAGAAGGTAAAGCGATTGGAATCATGGTATTTATCTTCACAAACGCATGCCTTCTGGCTGTGATAAGCTTTGCATTCGCATGGAGATCTGGAGCATAGAGGGACCCGGTGGTGAACCAAGCACGAGAACGATATTTGTCCCAATGAATCGACATAACAAGGAGGTGTGGAATCTAGTCAAACTTGTGAAGGCCACGCGGCTGTTTACTCAAACATATGCAACGGGGGATTGTAAGACAAGGTCATGGATTGAAATGTTTTATTACATTCGAGTTTTCTATTTCTACAACATCATCACATCATGGTATCATCATCCAACTCCTCGATAGATCATATAATAACACGATGTCTAGATAGTATGCTTTCCAGCACCGCAAGTCTGGCCGTGGTGCGCATGGCCACCATCATCAAACCTCGACATGAGCCTGCTCCTTTCGGCGCCACGCTTGCGAAGCGTCATGTTAGCCCTTGGAATACCCTCGAAGCTGAGCGCGTACTTGGCAACCGAGTTCGCGATGCTCTGAGTGTTGAGCAAGAAAGCATCCTCAGCAAGGTTGTCAATAGTGTCGCAAGCTTGGTGGTAGCATGCGTCGAGTGGTTGGCCAGCTTCACCACCGAAGAGCTGTGCCTCCTCCTCTGTCTTCAACACTTCGGCACCTGTGAACAGACCTCCGGAAGGAATACCGTTCTCGAGGAAAGCAGCGTAGTCGGAGCGAAGAGAGAAGAGAGCGGGGACGTGGGGAAGACCGCGCTCCTCGTAGAACTCCTCGAAGTCCTTCTCAATCTTGTCGGATCCAGGGGCACCGGAGAAGTTGAACGCGCTACCATCGCCATCGTAGATACCGAGAACGTAGTTGGGCGAAGCAATCATGTCGAAGTTGAGGTAGGCACGAAGCTTGTTGACCTCAGTTGCGTTACCGCCGAAAGTGCCGTTGATTGTCTTCATGTAGTAGAAGGAACCAAGCTTTCCAAACTCCTCTGCGCCCCAAAAGCCGAGACGAACAGCGTTCTTGATCTTGAATTTGGTCAGAGCAAGACCAGTCATGAGGGTACCGATGGTACCAGATCCATCGTCATTGATACCAGGACCGGCAAAGACAGAGTCGGTGTGGCCACCAAGCATGAGTACGTTGTCGTGGTCGCCCTGCTTCGTCTCGGCAATGACGTTGTAGTTGGTGCGGTTCTCGCGGATGGCATCGATGAAAAGAGTAGCTTCAACTGTGCCATTGCCGAGCTTGGCTAAAAGGCTGTCGCCGGCTTCCTTGGTCATACCGACGACGGGGGCGTAGTCGCCTTCGCCACCGAGAGTACCAGACAGAGGTGTGTTGGGTTCGTTGTTGTAGATCGCTGCACCGACTGCACCGGCGGTCAAGGCGTTAGCAGCCTTATCAGCGAAAGGACAAGTGCCTCGCGAGATGAGTGCGATCTGGCCAGAAACTTCCGCAGGGAAGTCATCAACAGCGCATCCGAGGTTGTTAACCTTGACAAGGTTTGCGGTGACATCACCAGAGGGACCGAAAGTCATGTAAGACACGGGGATCTCTTCGCCAGCAACCGTGAACTTGGTCGTAGCGGCAGTGAAGAGCTCGACGAAAGGCTGCTTATACACATCGTAGTACCCGGTAGCCTTGAGCGTTTGGTAGAGCCACTCGGTCGTAGCGTTATGTCCAGTGCTACCAAAGGCACGGTTGCCACCAGCCTCATCGGCAAAAGTTTGAAGTTGCTGAGAACCCTCAAGTAAGTCCTCGAGCTTGATCTCCTTGATCAGCTCTTTGGGGGAGACGAGCTTCCTAGGAGGACCAGATGGATGCGGCTTTCCGGGCTTTGCGGTAGGCTTTGGCTTCGCATCGTACTGTGCGAGGACAGGCGCAGCAAGCGCAACGAAGGGGACGAACCTCATCTTGAGAAAGGATAATGACAGATGAGCCAGGAGAAGAGGAAGCTGCCTTGGGACCTGTCACAGGTATAGACTGGCTCTATATACTATACCTCGTATCCATATACCTGGTCCAGGAAGCGGACTTGAGCCATTGTGTGCTTGCAGAACTAACCAATACAGGCAGCTGCTGTATCAATCGCCGCTCCATTGTCATTCAGGCACCGCAATTTGATAAGTCAGGACGTGCAGTGGGCCCATGAAAACGGGTAGCCGGGCGAGGAGCTGGGGCGAAGGCGACACGATTGATGAAGGTCTGCTTGGCTGCGCAATGCTGTATTGCATGAGGAAGGAGAATAGCCGCTTCTCTCGGCGGAGACATCTAGCTCACGGCCGGGCGCAACTTGATTGGGAAGGAAGGACCTCTAGACATGGAGCCAAGCCCAAATCCCCGCAGCTTCTTCTTGGCGCGCCTACGCCACAATCATAACGAAGGAAACAGCAAGAGGCGATAGTGTTGCTCCGCCACTAGATCCTGCGCGGAGGGATGCAAGCTTGGCGGCTAGACGCGTTTTCGTGGCAAGCGGACATGGACAAAAAGAAAACACGATGAACAACGGTGACACCGACGCCGCTAGATGCTAAGGCCAGACCATGGCAGGACTTTGATTGCTTGAATTCCGACTTTGATGGCTCCAATCTACAAGTTCCAAGTATGCGCAATATTGCGCCGAAGATTCATCATGGACCAATCGTCTGGTAGAAAGCCGCACTGATACCGACGGAATACAGCCGGGATCGACGTTGATAATAAACCCTAAACTTATTTTTGCCACGAGTAATTCCAAAATGAATATGCTCTATCCGTCTATCTGTCGAATCCCTCCTGCATCTTGACGATGAAGACACCACGTTCCATAGTGTTGATCAAGATGTGGCCACTCTTGAACAGCGCATAGCTCGACCACGTGCCGACGAAGTCGACAGTACCACCTCCAGGCATGTTATCGTCCTCAGGGTATACGTCTAGGTAGATGTAAGTAAAGGTACACTAAGACTAGGACGTTCGTTTTTACATACCGAAAAAGCCAACTTCCTTCACACCAGCACCCGTCGGGTCATCGGGAATGCTGCGGACATCAAGAACACGGAATCCGGTGCCGTAGTTCGATTGATATGCGAAGCCGTTCGCGACATACTGGTTGTGGTCGATACCCTTTGCTCCGCTCTTGTACAGTCCAGTCTGTTTAGGCGCGCGGAGAGACGAGATGTCCCAAATGTACGTGATGGGATGACCAGGGATAGCAGGGCCGACCTTGTCGTATTCATCGTACTCATCGTCGAGCAGGAGGAACTGTTGGTTCATGGGGTCTAGAACGTTGCCCTGGTGGGTGTATGCCGCACCCTCGTAGGAAGAGTTGGACAGAATGACTGGGGCTTTCTTGTCGGTCACGTCATATATCGTGAGAGAATCTTCGTTGTAGCCATAGCAAATCTCATGGCCCTCAAACTCGGAATCTGGTCCGCGGTAGATAAGACATTGAGCATCGTGTACATATCCGTCTTCCGATGCACTATCCTTGGTCAGCAGTGATCTCATCTCCAACATAAAGTCACACTTACCAGCCTGGGCTTGTTGGCTTCGAAGGATCGGTTATGTCGATGAAGATGATTCCAGATTTGCACTTGTCCGTCCTTGGCTGCGCACCAACGGCATAGATGAAGTTGGTCTCAGGGTTTGTCACGACGTTGTGAGTTCTGCCATTAGGGAGGCCCTTGAAGTGACCAGTCAAATCGCCGTTGTTGCTGAAAGTCACGGGGGACGCAGGGTCAATGTCGATTAGCTTCTTCATGTCGAAGATCTGAATTCCATGGCCGACTGCCTCGCTGCCGATGATCATGAGGTTGTTCTGGCCACGGATCTCGCGCCATGTACTAGGCGTAGAGTAGGCTGGCAGACGGCCCAGATATGAGAGCTTGCCTTCAGCCGTGATTTCGGCGAATGCGGCACCGTCTTGTTGTCCGATAGCAACGAACTCGCGACCGTCCTCGGATGTCCAGCCCCATGACGAAGATCCGACACCACGAGTGCTGCCTAGCTCAGCATGGGACAAGAAATGGAGCAAGTCAATCTGGTTGAATGTGTTAATGGTTGAGAGTCTTGATGCATGGTGGGTGAACTGACATTCTTGCATTGAAAAACGTCATTTCCAGTAACCGCAGTACCGTTCAGACACTCTACTTTGTCTTTGATCTCAGCATACTGAGCAGAGTTGTACATGCCTGCAGCTTCCTGACGTGCCCATGACTCCTGTTAAGGCTTAGTGTAAATTCGCAGGAAAGGAGTGTGTTTGTGACCTTCTTGAGGGCAACGTTGTTTTCGTGCCTGATGCCAGAGTCATAAAGCTGTGCGGCTCTCAACTCGTCCTTTGGCATTTCCTTTGCTGCCGCAAGGGCGGACAAAGATAGAAGGGCTGTGCGTAGATACATGTTGATTGTGACTTGAACGATGCGACAGGTGCCGATGGATTGTCACAGCAGGCTTCTCACGTACTCTTAAATGCGTGCTCTCCGACACAGAGGTACTCCAAATGCCAGTATCCATTCTGCACTGCCTATGGCTAACCCGGCAGGTAGCCACAATACCTGCCCCTTTCGATGCTACTATACATGTAGTGACCCATCACACGAGGTGGTGTAGATCCACGATTGGCAGTCGGCAAAGATCATAAGCAACGTGTATATGAAGTCCAATGCCGTACAGGGTATGACATTGGTGGTGTTAGATGAAGCAAAAGCTTCGAGCAAGGAGCTGTCGACAGGATAGGAAGGAGGCTTTATCAAGCATGTCTTGGTCATGTCTTGGCCGCCAGAATGCCAAGGTGCAGATCTGTTGAGCGAAGATAACAACAGGATGAGGTGCTGTCGTTAAACTCTGTGCTAGGATTCGCGCATGTCATATCCAGCTGTTCAGTGGCTAGTGTTGATTCTGCGTTGTGGAAAGACCCGGCGGACAAGGGGTTGTTGGGTCTTGCGTAAAGAGTGTGGTAGAGCACGACTTTGCGTAATATTGAGGCCCTGTTCTTACCGAGGCACATTCGCTTGGCACGGTATTGATCAGCTGATTTCTCTGTAATCACGTGAGCGTTGATTTGGCAAAGCAGACGTCCCTTCACTAGCCGAAGCTATAGGCTCTTCAGTCCGAGAATCAGGAGCCAGCTAGCGCTGAGGTCGGAGTGAGGATCAGCACATTAATGGATCGGACCGTCGACATGGGCACGGCGGCTCAGACTGCTCATTGCAGGACGCGTGAGCAGCAGAAATTGACGCGACGAAAAGCTGGCACTAGGGATCTGGGATGGCAAAGGCAAAAGTTCGATGTTCGGGATGTTTCGCGTTGAAGTTTGCAGGTACCAAGTGGGGAGCGGGGCAGCGTTGGGCCGTCACCCGAGCCTGGAACGCTGTGCCTGCCCACGAACGGCGCGGGTCCCACCATTGCGTCACCAAACAAAATAGTAAACACGGTAGAACAAAGGAACAGTAAAGATGGTTGTCGTGGATATGAATGTGAATGTAAATGTGAATGGGACCATGTCCGCTAAATTGTTCATTACTGAATCTATTTAATCATTGATGTCGTGAATGTAATCGTAAGCTCCCCCGCAATGGCGGGTCGAGTTCATCAAATGTTCATCTTCCTCAGCGCCTACAGAAGTGTCGAAGTAAGGACTTACAACTTGGCCTCGACCTTCTTCAAGCACTCTGGGAAGTCCTTCCAATCGTACATGATGGCAGCGCACTTGGTTTCCTCGGTGAGAAGCTTAGCCATCTGGTCCATCTTGTCCTTGCCCTCCTCAATGCCGTAGATGCCAACGTAGCCGATGCAGGGGATACCGGCGCGCATGGCAGCAGTGGCACCGCTCTTGCTGTCCTCGACGGTGATGGCCTCGGAAGGCTTGACGCCTAGCTGCTCGGCAGCGTATAGGTAGATCTTGGGGTCGGGCTTGGAAGAGGGAGGGTTGAGTGAGGTGGCAGCAGAGTAGACGTGCTCAGGAGGGAAGAAGTGGGCGATGCCGGCCTTCTCGATGGAAGCGACGACGCGGCTCTTGGCGGAAGTAGAGACAACAGACATAGGGTAGCCCTCCTCCTTGAGCTTGGTGAGCTGCTCGGTCACGCCAGGGCACTCGACAGCCTTCTGGCTGAGCTTGAGAGTGACGGCGCCGAGTTCTTGTGCGACAAAGTCCTCCATCTCGTCGTCGGGCATCTTGAACTTGTGCTTCTCCTGCAGGCCCTTGAGCATGCCACGGAAGTTGTGGCCGACGAAGTCCTCGAGCAATGACTCGGCTGTGTAGCGGGCATCGATGTTGTGCCTCTCCATGACCTGGTTGGTGAGGTCGGCGCAGGCCTCGAACGCAAAACGCTCAGACTGGACGAGCGTGTTGTCGCAGTCGAGCATGATGTACTTCGCCTATGCACGTGTTAGCGGGGTACCAGCGGGGTACATGTGAGCACGCCGATGCTTACCTTGCCCATGGTTGCGGTTGTGTAGTGTGTCTGGGTTAGGTGGGCGGTAGGAGTAGTGTCGATCGACGTGTAAAGGAAGAGTTTGGTAGAGACAAGTGGGGAATTGGAGTGAGAAGATGTAGAGGGCTGGGAATTTGTTGAGGGACAAGTAAATAGAGTAGCAGCGCTTGCCAGGTGTCAGAGAAGGGCGGCGCAGCCGGGGGGAGGGGAGGCGCATTTACGTCATTGGCTGCCTCAGTGGAGCGTGCCCGGTCCATTGGGCGCACGAACGCCGCCATCGCCTTCTCTCACCACTTTCTTTCACCACAGACCCACTCACCTCCTTAGCCGATCGCGGGGTTAGTTTGGCGGCAACTCCTGTGTGCAGCCTATAAGACGTACATGTACATATTACACCGACAGTTCACCCCGCATAGAGGATTCCAGAAGACGTCAACACGGTGTGCGGTGTGCACAGTGAGCAGTTCCTGCATGCAGGCAGTCATGGACATGCATCCCCCGCACAATACCTTGATGCAATCATCTCTAGCCGACTGTGCGACGAACCAATGTGGGACATCACAGAGAGGCTAGAGAAGGCGACAGCAGATAGTAGTCAGATTGAAGTTGCTTTCAAGATTGTTTACAGATGCTAAGATATTTTCGCTGGACTTGGTCAACGCCGATGATGCATATAATCGTACAAGTAAAGTAGTCGTTACACTCCTCATCATGCTAGGACAACATTTCTGTCGTGTCCTATTTCTTAGAGTCCTCCTTTGCCTTGTCGGCCAACTTGGATGCCTCTTCACCCTTCTTCTGGAGGAGGCTGGAGATCTCCGAGATGGTGTCCTTGAAAAGCTTCTGTGCTTCGTCGCCGTGCTTCTGGGCAACGTCCTGAAGCTGGCTTAGCTTGGGCATGATCTGGTCGCCGCCAGGGATCTGCTTGAAGTACTGCTCGATATCACCGAAACCAGACTCCTTGGCCTTGTTGGCGGCGCTCTTAACGTATGACTCAAGGTCGCCAGTATCACCCTTCTCGACGGCAGACTTGACGCGCTCGTACAGCTCTTGGACATTTCCGCCCTTGAGTGCATCCGCGTTCTCTTCGACAATCTTCTTGACCTGAGGGTTCTTGTCAAGGTAGGGCTTTGCCTGCTCCATACCCTTGTCCCAAGCCTCATCGCCCATCTTCTTCAGCTTCTCCACCTTTTCTTGCACGATGCTCCTGATTTTCTCAATGTTCGACGCACTTACGCCAGTCTTGACGACGTCACTGATCTGCTTCCATGTCCTGTCGACCTCCTTCTTGGCCTCGGGACCATACTTGTCGCCGTACTCCTTAAGTTTATCAATGTTACCGCCAACCTTCTCCTTGAGCTGAGGGTGGTTGTCCATGATCTGTTGTGATGCGTCGCCAGCAAGATCTGCGATGCGGCTCATGTGCTTGGTAATAACGTCCCAAGTCTTGTGTGCGGTGACGAGGCTCATATCACCGTTGCCGAGAACCTGGCGCATCTCGTCGTATGCCTCGGTGACGATCTGGTCAACCTCCTTGCCGTGCTTTGCACGGATAGCATCGAGGTCATCGAAGGCGGAGTCAACGTAGCCTTTGGCACCGGGGATGAAAGCAGCGTAGCTCTGCGCAGCATTTCGCAGCCATTGCAGCGCCTCGTTGGGCTCTGGTGTTTGCTCCTTGATCTTCTGTGTAGCTGAGTTGACGTAGCCCTTTGCAGTCTTGGAAGCTACTACAACATCACGAGCACCCGATTGTCTGTAGAAGATGTAGCCGACTGTGATGGCTGCAAGGGCACCAGATGCGGCACCGATTGCGGCATGTGAGCCGGCACCCGCGTTGCCGGATGTTGCTGACTCGGTAGACTGGAAGCGGGGTTGTTGGGCGCGGAACTGGGGGCTGGCTACCCGCGAAGCTGGACGACGGGCACAACGGGCTGCAAACCGCGCATTCTGGGTTGCTTGTCTCGAGAACATGGTGGCGTTGGTATGTGTGTTCTTCTCGGTGAATTGATTGGAGGAAGAGATTGGTGAAAAGTTGAGAAAGATTTGGGTATCTTGAAAAAAGGCAATGTGTGATGAATAGAAGTTCGACCAGGGACCCAGACCTTTAAGCAGCTGCGAGCAAACCGTGAGCTCACAAGAAATGACGTCGCCATGATGATGGGCATCACTAAGCCTTATACAGCACACTAACTCTGCAAGGGCCAATGATTCCCACCCAGCGTCATTGGTCTGTCATTGCACTAAAGATTTAAGCTTAACCTCCCCGCAGTTTCCCATGTGAAGGCACGCTAGCGAACAGGTTTCTGGCCATCCCAGCACTGCGACCAAAAGACAGATCATATGTGGTCCACAAGTCAGAGGATGTTGGTATTTATGCCTTCGGTTGTCATGGTTGCATAGATGAGAGATGATAAATCTACCTATAGTCCTAGTACCAGAGTTGCATACGGATACATACCGCTTGCGCAAGACCTTCTTTACACCTTCAAGAAGTTTATCTATGGTGTTCCAACGTCTAATGTCGCGTCTCTACTTATGATTTCTTCTTTGCTGTATCGTTCTTCCTTATTGGGATGACTCGTCGGGTAGGAAGCCTTGGGAACGCCTCAATTCTAGATTACAGTCACTCCCTGATTTAAGCCCGACTAGCCTGTCACTGGGCGACATGTATCTCATTGGACATTAAGGGTCCATCCCAACAATCGATTTGTTGTAATCTGGTCTCTCCAGGTTCTGAGGCAACATAGTGCTAATCTTCTACCGTATGTGTTCCAATAGATGCATGTGCGTCTTGGCGACAGCGGATACTTGGCCATAGGGTTCCAAGCTCTATGTGGTTGGCAGAGAAAGATGTCAAGTCAAGGTCTGCAGGATGACGTCGTACTAAACGAAAAATGAATCTGCAAATAGTTCAGCTCAACGGGCCCTCTAAAATATATGGGTGTACGTCTGCAAGTGTATTAGTGAATGAAGTTTCGTATTCTGATGTCGCGGCATGTGGTGGGTAATCGGGATGACGTAACTCGGGCTCATCCTGACGCGATAGCATCGCGCGACACACGCCAATCCAGCCTTCCTGTCCTCTCCTACCACCACATTGAGGATTGGTTCCTTTAACTTAGCAATATCAAAAGATACATGCTTGCGACATCTCTGAAGCTCAGAGAAGACACGTAGCTCTCTAAGTTACACCGCGTTGACGCGTGTGGCGCGCAATCACCTCGGCAAAACAACGACGATTACCTTATCAAGCCTCTGTACACTTCAAGAACGCGACAAATGGCATCCTCAGAGACAGCACCTCTACTGCGCCAGGAATCGACAACGTCGTACGCTCCAGATGAGGAATACGATGAAACTACCGCCGCGAGAAGTACTTTTGCCCGCAACCTGGGTGCGCTCGATGGCTTCGCGCTCCTGATAAGCATCGTCATCGGATCCGGAGTATTTTCATCGCCAGGACCCATCGATGCGAATGTTCCATCACCTGGCGCTGGGCTACTTGTATGGCTAGTTGGCGGTATTCTAGCATGGAGTGGCGCTCTGACCATGGCTGAGCTCGGTACGGCGTTTCCTGGCGAAGGCGGCATCCAACCATATCTCACTTACATTTATGGAGATGTCTTTGGATACATGGCGGCTTGGTCTTGGGTCGTTGCGACCATGCCAGCTACACTTGCGATTCTCAGCATCGTATTTGTGGAGTCCATCTACTCCAGCTTGGGTGTGAATGAACCAGATCCGCCTATCACGCATAAATTGCTGTCTCTGCTTGTCCTAGTGTGTGTCACGACTCTAAACTCCATCAGCACCAAGACGAGCACTCGGTTATCTAGCTTCTTCGTTGCCATAAAACTGCTTACCATTTCCTTGCTTATCATATCTGGGTTAGTCGTGGTCTTTGTCTTTGTCGGAAAGAGCAAGGACCTCGGAGGTCATGATTGGCATCAAAACAATTGGTTCTCGCCAAGAGACACAGTATTACCCGACGGATCAAGGTTCGACTGGACAAAGGTGACTACATGGGAGTCACTTGGGTTCTATTCAACTGCTCTTTATGGAGCTCTATGGGCATACTCTGGTTGGGACAAAGCCAACTATGTTGCAGCTGAGTTGCGGAATCCCAGCCGTCAGCTTCCACTGTCAATCAACACCGCTATACCTACAATCATACTCTGTTATGTCGCAGCTAACGCGGTCTACTATATTTTACTTCCCTGGGGGGTTGTATCAACAACGGATGCTGCTGCTGTAGTAAGTTTTGCAAACTTAAGTGCCACGATCTTGCGTACTGACATACACCAGACGGCTGTTACCCATTTCCTTGGCAAGGGTGTAGCTTACTTTGCTACAGCGCTCATCTGTCTTGTAATTGCGGGCTCCGCCCTTGGTAACTCTTTCGTCGCTGGAAGGATGACTGTGGCAGCGGCGAACAACAATTGGTTCCCGCGTGTTTTTGGCACAGTCGGATATGTTGGTACCCTCAGAGTAAGCAAAATTGCCGATTCGGATGAGCCAGCGGATATGGCCATGGACAATGGAGAGTCTCCGATGTACGTATATACCCGAGCATTCTTTGACAATCACTCTCTGACGACTGCTAGCAATGCTTTGATTCTCAACACTATCCTTTCTGGCATATATATTCTGCTCGGAAACATGCGCATCCTGTTAACCCTCAACGGGCTGGCTGAATATGCTTTCTTCTTTCTCACCGTGCTTGGAGCCATCATCTTACGCTTCCGAGAGCCCGATCTACCCCGACCCGTGAAGCCTCTCATTCTTATCCCTATACTTTTTGCCCTGATCAGCGGCTTTGTCGTTGTTAGAGGCGCTGTATTCGCGCCCATACAGGCAGCGATTCTCGTAGGGATCTGGCTTTGTGGTCTTGTGTTTTACTTTGTTAGGCTATGGTTCCTGAAGAAGAGGTCTGGAAGATCGGACTGAAGTAAACATTGAGCATGTAGAGAACTGCAACTCCTTCGGTCTCAGAGGCATCGCACAGCCTGGGTCATCATATCGTGCCATGACTATCTATACGGCTTGAGTGACACTAGTGGGGGTTGTCTTGTCCCGTCATCCAACCGAACCCCGCGTGTTCCGAGGTAACTTTTTAGCGTCGCGTCTGCACCAGCTGTAAATACCAATATCGACTCAGCTCAAGCAAATCCCTCGAGAAGACGGACTAATCAATCTGTACCATCTGGGAAGCTTCCATTGTTGTCATGGTTGTTCGTCCATATTTCACCGACGATAAACGCGTACTTCCTTTCGAAAAAGTAATCGAACTTGAACGTATCGATGATAGGACATTCCGCTCGATCGTAAAAGCGTACTCACCAACTGGCGGCGAGAATGGAACATACGGCGGGCACGTGTTTGCCCAAGCTGCATGGGCTGCAGCGCAAACTGTCGCAGAAGGGTTCTTAATACATGTAAGCTACCAGTGTCGTACTATTACGGCAGCTACCTAATATGATAGAACATCACCGGATGGTTCATCTTAGGCGGCAAGCCAAATGAACACTACACGTACCGCGTTCGAAAAATCCGAGATGGCTACAACTATTGCATCCGAGACGTGACCGTGAGCCAGGTTGCCGCTCATGGGTATATGTTTGTATGCACCTGCTCTTTCAAAAGGGAAGAGACCTCACCCTTCGATGTCCAAGAGGACGTGGATTTGAGGGACCTATACAAGGATACACTGGAAGATAAAGCCGATGAGCCGATGGAGCATCCAGCGGCTCCAAGCAATGATTCTGAATATTTCCGGGAAACATGTAAGTGACCCCATACGAACTATATGTGAGACATATACTGACTGCGCGAATCCACGCTTAGACCTTCCAGCGCATCCAGAACACTTCAACCCCGTAGCTGGATTGCACATACGTAAGGCTGATATGACGGATTACAACCGTAGCCGCCATCCGCTCGATCGAAAGCAACTGACCTTTTACACCCTCCGTGGTTCACTGCCATTACCTACCGCACCATATCCGCCTCCCTCAGACTCAGATCAGAAGTTTGACTTGACACGAGAGGCCAACATGCATGCCTGCGCACATTTGTATGCATCGGATCGCAACTCTCTCTTCATCGTCCCAAACCATCTCGGTCGGCCGCGAGACTACACCCGCATGGCATCCCTATCTCACAGTGTCGTCTTTCATGTCGGTATCAAAGATCTCCTCATGACCTCTGAGCCACGGATTGACCACCCAAACGCCGATCCGACCTTGTGGGAAGACGGCTCGCTACCACTCTGCAACCTAGAAGAGCACAAGGATGGTGACAAAGACGGGCGAAAATGGTTTGTGCAAGAGGCCTGGCTCACTAGAGCTACAGGTGGGAGAGCACTTCATACCAGTCGTATGTGGGACTATAAACGTGGAGTGCATATTGCGACAACCTTCCAAGATGGGTTGATCAGGTTCAAGAAGGATGCGAAGCTCTAAATAAAAAGGCCTTGGTGCGCCTTCTGGAATCCCATTGACTACTAAGGCGTGCACGCAGGCGAACCATTTCTTCCCTAAAGTTAGATCAAACTAGCATCGAAGAGGTGTGCGTTGCCATAAACGGCAAGATAGGGATGTAAATGCTAGAGAGTTCCGCTACCAAATGCATGAAGTACCGCTTGGGTAACTTGAGAATTGCATAGAGGAGGATACACCAGTTCACTTTTAATAGAATCTTTGAAAGTACGTACGATTGACTCTCGATTGTTATGAAGAATACACAATCGATTTCTAAGCTCGGGTACTTTAGAGGGCGAAAGTATCCGAACTCTCGGCTAGGAAGAAATCCGGAGACTTACCAATCCACTTTGATCGTACAAACAAGGAAGAAATTCTTCCGATGAATTATGAGTTTTGTTGATGCCTCCTGCGTATCACACGCGTTGGTTTGCTTCACGTCAGCCACCACGCATGTCAGCTGTGTTGGTCTCTCGTAAGCCTCAGGCCGCCTATAAGTACCTCACTAACCTCGCCTTGTTTTCTCTCTGCATATACATTGTACCGCTCGAAACAAAACAGCAAACAGCCGGCCATCATGAGTAAACCCAGCGTAACCGCCAGCGAAATGTTCGACACGCTCGCATCAAGCTATGAGGCCTCTACTGGTGGCTGCACTCGCGAAACTGCCATGCATCTGGTCGACATACTGCCCCCAATCGACTCCGACTCCGTCGTTCTAGACAACGCATGCGGGAATGGTATTGTCGCGCAAGAAATTCTTTTCAAATACCCAGATACTCCGATCAAGATCACCTGTGTCGACAATGCGAAATCGATGGTTGATCTAGCGCGGCACACCCTTCCAGCTACAAAGTCTTCGGCGACTTTGTCTTTTGATGTCATGGACGGTGTCGACCTGACATACCCCGATGAGACGTTTACGCACTCCATAACCAACATGGGCATCTTTTTCTTCCCCGACGCGGCAAAGGGTGCAGCGCAAATCCATCGTACGCTCAAGCCAGGAGGAACAGCGATTGTTACTAGTTGGAAGTCTGTAGGCCACATGGCTGTTGTACACGAAGCACAGAAAGCGGTCAAGCCAGAAGAGCCCTTGTTTCGCTGGCCTGTTTCGGACGATTGGTTCGAAGCTTCGCATCTCAAGAAGACGCTGGAAGGTGCAGGATTCAAAGATGTTGAGTTGCACGAGAAGACAGTTTACTATGCTTCAAGGAGTTTAGAAGAGACTTGCGGCTATTTGTTCGGCATGTGGAAGCATATGGGTCCAAAGTGGACGGACGAAGAGAACGAAGAATTCAGAAAGCAATTGAACATTGCCGGGAAAAAAGCTGCCGTGAAAATTCAGAGGCCTTTGAATGGAAAAAATGACGCGGATGTAATCGAAGTAGAGGGGTTCAAATGTGTAGCGCATGTTGCTGTCGCTAGGAAGTAACTAAGGAAATGCACAAACCACAACTAAGCAGTACACTCCAGGTTCTTTAACAATGCTACATTATCGGGACACGCTTTCTTTAAACATGTCTCCGTTGCCCAACTTGCTCTCTTATCGAAGAGGATGTGTAATAACACGACGATCTCTGAAACAGCCCAACACGGAACTTCTCCAGATTAAGATGTAAGCAGGCTAGAGGTAGGATGCTGAATGGTATTCCAGTAACAAAATGAAAAACTAGGTGCAGACATGGCAAAAGCGCAAAGGCACAGCCATCCAAGCATGATAAAGGCGCAAAAAAATGACCTGGGGTATCTGCTGAAGCAGACGAATGCTGATGAGAGTGGGACTCGAACCCACGCCACTTTCGTGACCAGGAATATATGTTAAGATAACCTTAACCTGGCGCCATAACCAACTCGGCCATCTCACCTAAGGAAGATTTGATGAAAGAAGATTTGAATGCGACGCTTATATTCCCGTCGAGATTCTGCGGGTAAAAGCATGGTGGGGTGAGGAGGGGTTGAGGGGCAGAAGAATTTTGAGCCCGTTGCTTTCGGCGGGATCGGCGACAGCGGCAGCATCAGTCTAGTGCGGGCTGAGCCTTTACCTATTGGTTCTGGAAGTGCAAATCTCTGGGGTAAGTGGAGGGGTACCGCAAAGTGTGCCTGTAGCAGACTTCCCTCACATTGACATGTAATACTTGGACTTTCTCGGGCATATATCCGCGAATGACTGGTAGTCGTATTGTTACAGCTTACTCTTCAAGCTCAACTGGTCCGGTCGCCACATCTCATTCAGCAGTCTCGTTGCATTAACCATCTCAGGTCTGCACTGGTCCAGCGATGTGATGCCTAACAAGCGCATGCCTGTCTGCAGCTCATCCGCAAGAACTGTCACATGTTAGCACGTTTTTTTGACTCTCAAACCGCGATGATCCTTACTGTCAACACATCTCTCAACACCCTTCGACCCATAAGCTCCAAGCGCATATAGGAAGGGTCTTCCTACGCCCACAGCTGTCGCACCCAGGCACAGCGCCTTCAGCACGTCGTTCCCATCTCTCAGACCACCATCGAGGAAGACTTCCAGCTTCTCCAGGACTTCTGGACAATACGTTCGAATCTCCAACAACGTCATGAGCGCACTCGGTGCGGTGTGCAACTGCCTGCCCCCATGGTTACTGAGCAAGATTCCATCACAACCATGCTCCATTGCTAGCTTCGCATCATCCGCGCACTGCACTCCCTTCAGCACAATCGGTCCATCCCATTCCTTGCGGATCCACACTAGATCTTCCCATGTGGTATGCGGACTCAATTGGCCTTGTACCGGCCGTCCACCCATGGCAGGTGCGAAAGCGTTATCGCCGCCTGTCTCCCACTCTGCAGTACTCTCTTCTGCAAGACCAACTGCTAGTGCTTCTTCGGCCTGAAGATATCGATCCGCCGTTCGCTTACCAAGAACAGGCGTATCGACTGTGATCCACAGGCCCCTATACCCGCAGCGTTTGACGATGCGCATGAGCTCGATAGCCTTGTTGCGGTCGACGGGCATATAGTATTGGTAGAATAGTTGCGTCGGACTGCCATTACCAAGTCGTTTTTGCTCATCTTGATAGCTCTGCATGATCTGCTCGCTGCTCTTGGAGCTCGCAGTACTAACGACTTTGTGGATCCCCTTCCGTACTGCTCCTCGGATCATTTCCGGCTCAGCAGCTTCGTGGATGGCGCCCATCGTTCCCATGGGGCAAATGTAGAATGGGTACGGTGAGCTATGCCCGAAGATCTTGCGACGCGTGTCTACATCGCCTACGTTTCGCATTACACGCGGCCGGAAATTGATACGACCCCAGTCATCGAGGTTGCCTTTGAGCGATGCACCTGTGTTGGCGGATCCAGAAGCGTAAACGTACGACTTATGAGGTAAGACTGCTTTGGCCGCTGCTTCAAAGTCGGTGGTCGAGACACAGAGGCTTACGTGTGGAATTTCGTTGGAATTCGGGTCGGTTTCGGATGGCTTTGTTGATTCTTCGCTCTTGATCTGGCGTAGCTGGCCGAATGTGTTGGGGTCGACAGGTCCGAGGAACGCATCTTTGGGCAGATAATCGTCCAGATAGCTCAACGGGTGGTATTTCTTGAACTCTTCCGTCGCATCCTGATCAACGTCAGTGTTGAGTTGCGCCAATACTGCAATACTACTCACCGACCCGGCATTCTTGAGGATAATCGGTGCGCCACCTGGGTGCTCGGACAGGAAGTTTGTCACATTGTATGCCTTGGAATCTAGCACTATCCAGCAGTCCTTCTTGCTGTGGTGCTTCGCTACTTCAGCTCCGTCAATCTGCGACATCATTCAAGCTCTCTGCGGCACCTTGTGTCAGTGGAGGTCTCGTCTTATGGCTCTGCGAACCACCGGTAAGGTATTTGAGGGGGAATCGCCAAATCGGGTATACCGCGCCCCATGTTTCGGAATTAAAGCCGGCATTGCCAGCGGGTAAGCTGCGACCGAATGCCGTCACGGAGGCAAAGCAGTACCTCGCCAGTGTTGCCTCTTCTTTCTTCTCCAGTCACATAGGAGCACCTGAGCCATGTAAGACTACTAGATGTGGAACTTCGCATCTGGTGCGATTGCCCCAAGTCCCAAAATTTCGCACTGCATTATCTTTGCGACTCATGACTGGCTTCTGATAGCTCATCAGCTCAAGGGCAATTGGCCGCTCATGAGACCGTATGCGCGTCTGATACCTTACATGTATACTGCAGTAGCATAGATGATATCCGTAGCATTCTCCTGTTGCGACTCGAAAGAAGAGCAAGATACGGGATTCAAGAGGACACAGGTTCTCAGCATGGATAGGATGGTATCTATTGCGCTTGCAAGAAGGCTGCCGTTCGTAAAGGTATGCTATATATGTACAAGATGACACGGGAATGGTCGCGACTTTTCGGAAAGATCAAGGATAAACAGAAAGGAAAGAGAAGACATACAGTCATGAGTACGAAAAAAAAATCATCTTGGGACTCTACTGTTCACCAAGAGAAGGAGTGCTGAAGACCGCGCGGCTCTTCGCTAGCAGGTTTGCGAAGCGAGGCAAAAAGTGCCAACAGTTGAGCTGCTTCCATCCCACCTGTCTCTTGCCAGAATGTGGAAGAACAAGCTTGCTGCATGGCAAGCTCGTAGCAAGTATCAAGGAGCGCGTTTGTATTTTCTGGCGCATCCTTGATCCTCACCTTCATCGCAATGGCCATTGCTAGGAAGACATGGAAGCGTGCCATTGGCATGGAGGCAGAGATTTCGACAGCAGGTCGCTGAGAGTTGGGGTAAACAGATTCGCAGAACCGAGAGAAGAGTGAGGGGGTGATGGAGTAAGCTCTATAGTCCAGGGACTCGAGATGTTGGACGAACTCCGTTGTCAAGGTCTCTGCTTCGAAGCGACTGGGAAGTGGAGTGGTTGCCAGAGCACGACTGCGGTCGGTGAAACTTGATCGGGAAGAGCCTGGGCCAGGACTCTCCGTATGACGAGCAGCGAATATGCCTTGACGGGGTAGTCGTGGTGCTGGAGCCAGAGGGAGGATGTCATCCTCGACTTCAGGAATTGGCGACATGGCCTGCTCATTACTAGCCTGAGACAGGGAAGAGGTTGAAGTCTTCCGAGAATGACCTCGACTGCTAGTACCTGGTTGTAACTGACTGGAGCTTGCTTGAGCCATGAACTCCCAAGATGGCGCCGTGTGCGGTTCGATCGACGATGGCATGGGTTTGCTCATGGGTGGGTATGCCGTTCCGAACTGCGGTAGTGCGGATCCAGGTGGCATCGAATCGGGTGACGAGGCACGCGTGGTACCTAACCATAATGAAGGTACTGGTGAAGACGGCGTGGAGAAGTTGGGGAAAGGCTCACATTCATCTATGGCGATGGAAGGCATGCTCCCGCTTCTGGCTGAGAAAGAACCCATATCCAAGTCATCGGCGGTGAATGTGGCGGGTATTGTGGTGTCGAGGTTGAGGTGCGAAGGCGTCGCTTGCCAGTCGAAGGATGTTGGCGTGCCGGCCATGAGGTTCTGGTCGATGGATTCCATACCATGCATGGGCGCATTAACGTGTCTGGCCAACTGTGCTTCGAGCTGGTGTATTCGTCCTTCTAATGCTTCACGATGTTCGCTTCAGATTCATTAGAACATGGGTCATGTGACTACGCAATGACGCGTCTTGATGCTAGCACTCACGATGCCACAACTTCTTTTGGTTTCTGTGTTCTCACGCATTGTATTGCAAAACGTTTACACGTCGAGCAGGGCGTCTCGCCGTCGCATCGAATCTTCCTCCGTCGACATCGCTCACAAGCGTTCGAGACAGACTTTCGCCTGGGCTGCCAGTCCTTGACAGCGCTGGGGGAGAAGCGAGCTGGACCCTCACCAGAAGGCAACGAAGCTTTTTTTTTAATTAGCGATATCAAAGAGCGATATAGTTGCCAAGCTTACTGAAGGGGCACATGCTGGAGACCGATGTTGAAGATTCCGCGTCGGATACTGAGTCTTCCGAAGATTTGAGTGCAGATTTGTAGAATAAGCAGCTGACGATCACAAGACGGAGGCGTGAGAAAGGAAGCCATGGCGGAGGACGAGATCTCTGTTTGTTTTACATCCCGTTGCCTGTAGTAGTGACAGACTGTTGAAGGTTGACTAATCGGGTGTACCTGCCCTGGTGCTTCGCGCTCGATACACTTTCCTGACAATCTGGCCCTCACCATGACCTGCGACGCAACAACCCGGCTCCTTGCACGTCTCGACTCCTCATAGGCGCGGACGTGCGACGAGACATGGTCATGCATGTCGCATCGACTTTCCCTCCGCTTTCAGATCTTCTAGAACAACGTCTTGCAGATGACAGGGCTAAGGGACGGGGAGGCGGCCGCACTCCGCGTCTGCAGCATAAGTGTCGCACAGCCCCCCAAAAAGCTCCCACCGGCAAATCCTTCGACGCGTAAAAGAGCGGAACCGACGGCGATTTTTCCGCTCTTCAGTCACATCGCATTGTGAAGCACCACCGGAAAATTATAGAAGAGCACGTATGGCTTCTGAGCTTGTGACAGAGAGTCGATCATGGGACAGCCCGACCTCATCAGTCCGCCCGTTTTATCGCATCGACGCCTGCCCAGGCAGATTACAACTGCCGATAACTCAAAACAACGTTTCTATATCGTCGCATCAATGTCTTGGCAGACGGGACGCCCACTACCATACGCGTCCATGAACACTGTAAGCGCCGTGCGGCCTCGGTGACGCGTGTCATTGTCCGGGAGTTCATCGAGAAAAATGCCATTGAGAATATCGCATTTGCATTGAAATATCTACACGACCGAGCGCATCGCTTTAACACGACTACACGCGACACAATGGACCGTCCGTCGACTGAACACCCGCGCCGATAATGCCGTTGTCATCAATGGCCCAGCCTTCGGTGCCAACACCATGATGCACATAGAAGAGCATACCAGGATCATACTTCTTCTTGATCTGCTGGAGCCTGGGGTAGTTGGAGCCCCAGAAAGATTGTTGCCAATCCGGCTCGGCGATGTCGGCCTCATTACCGTACGCGCCGCCAGCGGGTGATATCTCACGTAGAGGAGCCATGACCTCAGTGGTGATCTTTTCGACGGTAGCTTGCCACCCCGCAGCGGATTCTTCGGGGACATTGTTGATGACGACCATCTGGCTCTCTTCGTTGCGGAAAGCAGGGTTGACAGAATTGATACCCTTTTGTTCCGGGTCGATAGGGCGCTGGTGGTACATATTTATCATCATAGCATTTTCCACAATCTGCTGAATAGCGGCCACTGTTTGGTTGCGAATCTCAGAGTTCTCCCAGTTTTCCGATGTCAACAAACGGTTGGCCGCAATACCTGTGGCGCCACCAATGTAATAGTTGAAGGTGCCAAATGTCGCCTGGTAGGCTGGGTAGAAACTGTCGTGGTGGGTTGTATTGGGGCTGAGCTCAATACCAAGCGAGGCACACTTCTCGTAGAAAGGCTTGATAAGAGCGTCATACTCTTCGACTGTCTTGTCCGTGGCAAAGAATGGGCCCATCGACCACATGTAAGTTCCTGGTGCGAGCTTCATGAGGGAGAAATAGGAGTAGGTTTTCGCTCGGTTGTAAACGGGAATGTTGTCGAAAAAGAACTTAAATGCCTCCCAGAACTTTTCGACTGTAACAGCCTCGGACGTCATGATGGTCCAGGAAGACTGAGTGACCGGGACCTTGCGGTGGACCTTGACTACAGCAGATGTGATCACGCCGAAGGTACCGCCTCCACCGCCTAACATGGCCCAGTAAAGATCACTGTTGACCTCTGGGGTAACAGTAATGAAACGGCCACTAGCAAGGACGACTTCGAGAGCGACGATTTGATCAGACCCCACGCCGAACAACTGCATTAGAGGACTGTGCCCGCCGCCTGTAGAGTAGCCTCCAAACACACCCACGGTAGGGCAGATACCAGCGATAGCGGAGACGCCATATTTGTCGGCAGCTTGGTAGAGCTCGAAACCTTGGACGCCCGCTCCGACTTTGAAGACCGGTCCATTGTACATCGAACTCTTGTAGTTTTTGACATACTTGATCTCCTTGAGGCCATGCGTCCAGATACTCAGTGCACCTTTCCCTACCGAGCGACCGTTGTAGTCTAAATCAAAGCGTACGAAGTTAGTATATTTATTACATGCAGTTCGTATAGAGACACTTACCATGACCAGTGTTGCGAACGACTAGGCGAAGGTTGAGGTTGCGTGCGAGGTTCACTGCTAACTGAATCTGCGCAACGTTGCTGATCTTTACAGCATACTCCGAGTAGCCACCTTGGGTGCAAGTTCCGTTGGCGGAGTCGCCTGAAGTGGGAATGGGACAGGTCATTCCATACCACAGAGGGTTCATCAGTGCACCGTTATCAACATAGCTGCTGCTGTTAGTGGCTGTGTCGGTTCGCTGTCAAGTATCGCTACTAACTAAATCTCTTCTTGATCGAAGTTCTTCACCAGGTTCGCGCACTTTGCGGCATCGTCTAGATGTCGGTGTACGAAGTCAGTGTATATTTCACATGCAGTCTGTACAAGTACACTTACAGTTGTCATACTCGGATTTCTTGTAGCAGGACGAGCCTATAGGAACAATCTTCTCCAGAGCACCGCCAAGTAAGGTGTCGAAAACACTCCACGCAGCTTTGCTCGGATATAATTCATCCCCAGGCATAGTCTTGCAACGAAGAGCTCTACGAGTGCGGCGTGCCCGCACCGAAAGCGTAGAGTTCGAGCTGTCCTCGAACTCGTACAGTGACGCATACTCTGCAAGATCAGGGTTCTGTAGGAGCGTAGCTACGACATCGTCTGTCAGTTGTATGGTCTCGCCATCGAAAAGAGGAAGCTCTGCAGGCGTGATCTTGGCAGCGAGCGTCTCTGCAGCAGGTGGGACAGTAAGCGAAGCGCTCTGTGCAAACGCGAGGGCAGCACAGGCCAAAGAAACAGTGAAGGATCTGGCCAGCATTTTGGACTGATGGGGAGTCTAAAGGATAGTGAGTGACAGGACGGTCCCTGACTGCCATGCTCTTTGTGGCTCATAAGCGCATTTATACATATCCAGTTTGTATAGGATCTCAGCCCAAGCGTGCAGCATGCAGCGGGCAATGGACTCATTGAGGCGAAAAACCGTTTACCAAATCCTTGGGTACAGGACTGCTCGACATGGGTACAACGGCAAGAGGGTGAGCTGTAGCATTTTTACGCCTTGCACCAGTCGGACGAAAGAGAATAGCAGGGGGAATGTTCGTCTAGAACGCCAACGGGCGGGCGGGTAAACACGTACCGGGACTAGTATTCCGATGGACCCTCGATTCCGCATCTTGAGACACGAAGGATGTAAGCGGCTCTTCGGACCTTCCTTCTTTACCACGTGCGCGGGCTACATTGTGTTCTCTTCAGCCTCGCACCATACTTACGGGAAAAGGAAATTCTCAAGCCCGCATTCGTACGGTATGCAGGGTCCTCTCTTCACTCCGCGGATGGATATACGATCTGGCCTATGGTGTCCTCGAAGAGAATGGGGCCAGACAGTATTATTACTAGGTAGTATCTATCAGGCATCCCGCTAATTGCAGAAGGGTTTAGTGCTGAGTACAATTGACAGGCCATGAAATTGATTTCTGGGCGAAAGTCCCACGCATCTAAACACCCAAGACACCATGTGGGGCTGCGCATGCCGGCAGTAAATACCTTGTCGAGACAGAACGAACTTTATGGATTTCAACCTGCAAAACCGCGGAGACGGAGGTTATTCTACCAATTATCTTACGGGTAGGTAACCAATGTATTTTGAGATGATACATGCTGGCACCGAGCTGTTCTTGCATACATATACATCATTGTGCTCTGCAAGAACGTAAGGAACGAGACTTCTGCTTTACCAACCCAATTAAGGGGTAACATTACAGACTAAACACTTATTAACTACTACACATCATGGCGTTAAGCCAAGCGACTTTCGAGAGGGTATAGACCAAAACAAGAAAGCAAAGTATCATCAACCAGTAACCTCCACCGTGGCGCCTCTTTATCTACCCCTCCAACCCCCTTCTGTTCACCATCCAAGCTCTCCCTCCCTCAGGATACACGCATCTACCACTTCGCATCCCGATCAGCATAAGCTGAGCAATCCAGCGCCGGAATGCTAAACCCATACCCATCCGTCCTTCCCTCCCGATCTTGGTTGCTAATCTCCACCCTAAGTGTGACGTCCAACCCATACGGTCCACACAGACCGGAGGGTACGATACCGTTAGCAGCGGGATGCTGAGTACCAGCCTTCTCTTCACCAATATGGAAGCCCAGACGCATGTTGTCCTTCTTGCCGGGAGCAGCAGAGACCTTGGACGCGGCGGTGTTGTTGGTGTGGATGGAAGGGGCGGAGCCGGGCGGTACACCGAGGGTCGAGGGAGTGGGAATATTGGATTCGCAGATGATGGCGTAGTTGCGGGAGGGCATTGTGGCGTGGTTGGCGGCGGAAGTCTTGGGTTCGATCTTTCCGTCCTTGCCATCGCCATTGATCTGGGCGGTAGAAGTACCGTTTGTCGCGTTGACGCCGTCGGGCAGGGCCGGATCGCGGTCGAAGATCTCAAGGAGCGTCTCGTCAGTTTCCTTGTCAAGGTGGTGGATCTTGTTTCGGCGGGCGAGCAGGTTTGCGACGGCTTGTGGTGGAGGCTTGTTGGTAATGGCAGAGCTAATGATGTTGGGCATATAGCGGTGGTCTGCTTCGGCAGGGATCTGATGTGTCTTGGGGTTGGTGTAGAAACGCCCAATGGCTCCTAGATGTACATCTCCACCGAGAATGGTGACACGCACGGAGAACTTCTTAGAGAAGGCCTGCAGACTGTGCATGAGGTTACGACGCTCCTCCTTGTGTTGGCGCGCAGTGTAGTGATCATCCAAGTCGTCGAGCAAATCGACTTTGCCGTCGAACTGGTTGAAGAAGCCTCCAGCGAAGCCGAAGCGCTTGTTCAAGAATTTGATGGGTGCGATCAGGGGTGACTGCAAGATGTTCTCGAGCCAGATCAGACGAGGGTAAGCGATTGGGACACCAAGCAGCAAGATCATGTGCTTGAGCTCTGGGTTTGCAGTGAACTCAGCATCCAGACGATCGAAGAGCATCTTGTAAGTCTCGGGGTAGTTGACCTGATGCCTAGTACGCTCTGTTCGAGCATCAATACCAGCAAAGGCAATGCGCGCACCTAGCTGACAGAAGATACTACGGCTACGTTCCTCAACATATGGGCCAGGCTTTGAGCCTATGAGGTATGATGGGTCGCCCTCGTCGTTGGTCATGACGAAAGTGTTTTGCACTTGGGCAGGATCGGCGGGCGTTGTTCCTTCTCCCTGGCCGCTTACATCGGTCGTCTGCGGCGCATCGGTCGTGAAAGTGCTCTTTGGAGGAGCAAGATGATGCTGGAAGAGGAGGTAGTACTTGTGTGCAACACCACCAATACCGCGGAAGACGGCGCAGTTCATGAAGTGGTCAGTGTATGAGCCAAAACCATCGATGATGTCGTGGTCATCCCAGATGTTTACCTGAGGGATTTGGCTGTTGGCCGTAGAAAAGGGTGCGTGGCTGTACCATCTAACGTAGTTATTGTAATAGTATTCATCACAGTCGGCACGCATTTGCTGACCGAAGGGGAATTCTCGTCGCTTATGGGGGCTGTGGATATCGGTCCAAGGCTTGAGAGGGCCGTCTACTCGCACTCCATCGTTGTAGATCTGGTCGCCTCCTCCGATCATGACGTGGAAGGGTCGCTGGTCGTGCATGCGTAGAACGTCGTTCCACAGTACAGGTCCACACCAGACGTCCATATCAGTGCCTACACTGAAGCCATTGCAGGAGTGGAACATGATACGCATCGACTGTGTAATCGAAGGTACGACGAAGTTCTGCGGCTTCTCCTCCTTCTGGGTGTCGGTGTACTTGAGGTTCTGGATATCGTAACGCCATCTCGACTCGAATGGCTGCATGGGCGCATCGATACGGAAGCGCCAGAAGGCCCTCTTGCTGTCTTCATACAGCTTCTCGCCGTGAAAGGTGCGCGCATCTACGCTGAACCTCACGTCGCCAATGTTCCTGTCGACGGGACCAGCTGGTGAAAGCACAAGCTGGGGGTTCGGCTGTGCCTCGTTCGGGTTCTGTTGGCCAGGCGTAGTAACAATCAGGACACTGCCATGCCAGACGGGCTGCCCGGCCTGCTGGTTGCTGGTGCGTCTGTAGTTGAGGAGCGGTCCCATGATGACATCCACCACGCCCGAGGTGCTGATGACCTGAGGCCCGGCCCCAATGCCTATCACGCCACTGGGGTCCTCATGTTGTTGGTATTCGGCGGCCATGGTAGTAGCCGATCGCGAGCGATGTTGGACAGCGAGAGAAAAGCGCAGGTATATAAGCAGACGCGTCGAATATGTTTACCAGTCTACACTCCGGTCAGCCTATTGAGTCAACTAGACCACGCGGCAACCTACAATGGCGATGCGCTCAGGGTCCAAGAGTTGAGCTCAGGCGCAGATACGATGCGCGCCGCTAGTATAAGTCGCGTTCCTGTCGCAATTGAAGCAATTGCACGCCTATGGAGAGCGCGGGTAGTATGGAAACGATATCAGGCGGGGGAGAGTAAGAATTTCAGGAAAGGCTGGGGCCAAAATGAAAGCGCCTCTAGCCTCAAAGTCTTGAAAGTTGTTGTGCCTGTGATTGATGGCACAAGGGACGGCAGGGATAGTTGCCGCTAGCCGGGTGGGCCATGACATCCTCGACGCTTCCGCGCTGCAGTGCATCCCTCACACACGGGGCCTATCGCGATCTTCTGCATGGTCTGACACGCCGTCTCCAATCCCACCCACCCCATATGTCAGTTTCCTCAAGAAACCTATTTTCGGTCTCTTGCATTCATCCTCGCAAAGTCTATGAGCTCATTATCTTCCTCCCGCGCCACAAGCTACCCAACCAAGCTTTCGATGCATGCGCCAAGCACCCGCTATCCTTGCCAAGCATTGTATATGACGATGATCAATGGCTGTGGTGTGGCTGCCAGTCCACTCTAATTTCCACACGATAATCTGCCACACGAAGATCCAACGGGGCGGCGCCATTGTGGCAGTGGATGACGGTGACAAGAGGGGTCAAGTGGCTATGCTTGTTCACGAGTGTGGTTTCCATCAGGTAGCATTACAGTACCGCAAGTCTGCATTGGCATCGCCTCATGAAAACACAAAACGAGAAGATACCCCTAATTCGTATCACTCTATCTCTTGTGTTCTTTTGTATGTCATGTTCCAGTGAGTCCATTGTGGTGATCTGCGATGCTTGCGTCAACCGTCTTCGTAAGTTTTTACGTTTCTGCCACGGGCCGACTGAGGGACTCTGTATCATGTGATCGTGTGTGCTATTGGCGACAAGCGGGTTCGTCCACGAGTATATGCTGATGCGTAACACTATTTATGCTGCTCAATTTACAATATCAATAATCCCTATTCATAAACAAACCTCATTAGTGTTTGACAATATCAGACTTCCTCTTCATCCACAGGCAGCACCTCTTCCCTACTCAGCCCAATCTCCTCCCCAACTCTCCTGACAACCTCTTTGATAGCAGCACATGCCGGACTGTCCGGGTACGCTGTTAAGAAACTCTCCCCAAAATCGCATGCCATGCCTATCCTCGGGTCCAGTGGTACCTTGCCCAAGAAGGGTATATTTTGATCCTTAGCCAGCCTTGCTGCACCACCCGTACTCGCTCTGAATATCTGAGACTCATGTTTGCAACCCGGGCACACAAAACCGCTCATATTCTCAACGATGCCCAGTATAGGTATGCCGGCTTTCCGGCAAAAATCAATCTCTTTCCTAACATCGAGAAGCGAGACTTCTTGGGGTGTGGAAACGAGGACCGCGCCATCGACGCCGCTGGCTTTGAGGAACGAGTTTACAGAGAGATGTTCGTCGGATGTGCCCGG